AGGATACTGTATGTCATGAAATAATGACATATGATGCCCCATATACATCTCATCACCGATAAGCTTGGAAATTCCGATCTGAGCACCCCAATAGTACCCAATTGTGATGCAGCAAACAGCATGTTGATATCATGTCTGCACATAAACTTATGCATGTCGTGTTTTCTCAGAACTTCCACTTTCCACACATATCTTGTATCTTCACCGGAAATCCTGATTTCTGTGCGCTCTCTTCTGCATTGCATTCATAATATCGTCTATAAATATATCCAGGTGTTCGGAATGTGATACACTCCCATCCCATTTCTGTGTGTGGTATGTCATTTTAAAATATCATACCACACTGTTCTCTCACTTTTGCAGCTACTGCCCTCCAAATTTGCAAACCCACAGCTCTTGCATGCTCCTCCCTGATCCAAAAAACAGCGAGGTGAAATAACATCTACACATGCTGCTGTGAAGGGTGACTTCTCAGGTAGAAGGTGTTCAGTACAGGCAGACCAACTCATATAAATATGCTGTAATGTGCTGCAATACATTCAGATGTGATGCAGAGGTGCATTCCAAAAAAATGAGGGACAGATACAGAGATGGGTAACATGTTGAGCTCACTGTGTCTGACAGTGAGCTCGCTGTTTGAGACAGTGAGCACCACTGGTAGCACAATTGCCGACCTCGGTAACAAAAACTCGGTATTGAAGGCCAGAGGACCAACAGTGAGCACCGGGATTACCAATCTCGGTATTCAAACCTCGGCATTGAAGGCCAGAGGTCAGCAAGAGCACTGGCAGTGAGCACCGGGATTACAGACCTCAGTAATAAAAACTCGGCATTGAAGGCTGGAGGTGTCCAAAAACTCGGTAATGAGGACAAGCAATGGATACCGGTGGTCAAAAACTCGGCATTGAAGTCCGGAGGTGACCAAAAACTCGGTGATGGATTCAGGCAGTCAAAAACTCGGTAATGAGGACTGCTGATTGATACCGGTGATCAAAAACTCGGCAATGGGTGCAAAAAACTCGGTAATGAATACAGGCAATCAAAAACTCGGCAGTGAGAGCGGTAATATGCACAGGTGGTCAAAACCTCGGTTGTGAGAGTGGTAATACACACAGATGACCAAACACTCAGTAATGGAGGGACTGCCGGAATCTCGGTAATGGAGGGACTGCTGGAATCTCGGTAATGGAGGGACTGCCGGAATCTCGGTAATGGAGGGACTGCCGGAATCTCGGCAATGAATGCACTGCCGGAAAAAGTGGGTGTTTACTGGAGGACACCTTGTACAAGTGTTTGCACTGTTTGAACTCCGCTGCCACAACCAGAGCATATACAGCACTAAAATCAAGTGCGCTATTCTCGGCACACCCGTGCGCATCTACCGAACGCATTACCGAAAAAAACGAGGTTCACCGGGGGACAACTCGTACGACCGTCTCAGACGGAGTACAAGCTCGTACGAGCTTTTGTAGTGTTTCAATTCCGCCACCTTGACCATGCCACGCACAGCAATAAAACAAAGTGCGCTGTGTTCCAGTGATCTCCGGCAATGTATTGCATGCATTACCGGAAATTTTTGATACCCACCAGGAGCACCTCGTACGACCGTTCCAGACGGGGTACAGACTCGTACGAGTCTGCACACTGTTTCGACAATACCTCCTTAACTACACCAGGTACAGCAATGAAATTGAGTTCGCTATTCTCAGCGTATCCGTGCGCATCTACCGAAAGCATTACCAAAAAAAACGAGGTTCACCAGGGAACAACTCGTACGACCGTCTCACACAGGGTACAGGCTCGTACGAGCCTGCACACTGTTTCGACTCTCCCACCTTAACTACAGTGCGCAAAGCGACGAAATAAGGTTTGCTGCGTTCCGGTAACCTTCGGCAATGCACGCCATGCATTGCCGAGATTTCCGGGTGTCCGCTCTCCCGGAGGTACTCGTACGACCGTCTGAGACAGGGTACAGGCTCGTACGAGCCTGAGCACTGTTCTGACCCTCCCTCTGTAACCACGATATGCACAGCAATGGAATTTGATGCGTTACGTTCAGTGCACTCGCGCGCATATGCCGAATCCGTTACCGCAATATTACAGGTGCACACCGGAGGTGCCTCGTACGACCGTGACAGACGGCTACAGGCTCGTACGAGCCTGGGCAGCGTTTTTGTTACCCCAGGCCAACCATGGCACGCATCGCAACGAAATTGAGTGCGCTGCGTTCGGTACAGTAACGCGCATCTGCCGAATCCATTACCGCAATATTCCGGGTGCACACCGGAGGTGCCTCGTACGACCGTGACAGACGGCTACAGGCTCGTACGAGTCTGGGCAGTGTTTTCAATGCCCCGCTCCAACCACAGCACGCACGGTGATAAAAACGACTGTTCCGAGCTCGTATGACCCAGGGGAACGTAGCGAACGCATTACCGAAACGTACGGTGCAGTAGGGCGCAATGTAGGCAGTGGGACGTGCCACTACCGGAACCAGCATCCCCTGCTATATCAGCCCGGTATTGGCTTCCCAGGGGCTGCGGGATGTTCTTGCGCGTATGTAGCACACTAGAGGACCTCAAAGCACGCAAACGACAGCCAGAATGATACATTTGGCATTGTATATTACTTCTCCACCACCGCTCGTACGACCGTTACCGACAGCTACACTACCGGAGCTCGTACGACCGTTACCGATGGTCTACACGACCGGAGCTCGTACGAGCTCGTATGGCCGTTACCGACGGCAACATGACGGGGTCGTACCGCCGTTACCGACGGCTACAGAGGGGGAAGGGGGTCGAGCCCCGCACAGAGCCGTCGAAGGATATCGATGGTGATGGGGAATTTGGGATTGCGATCGCGTTCCCCATGGTAGCGCTTGATACCGCGGATGAGGCGCTGGACAACGGGGGACTCGCAAGCCGTGAAGGGGAGGTCTGCGTCAACGTGGAGGGAACGAACAGCGGAGAGGTAGGGTTTAATGGTCTTGGGTTGAAGCCCGCGCTGTCCGAGAGAAGCGATCCACTCCATGATTGCGGCTTGAGATGCTGGGAGGAATGCGCCGTGGGAGTCGGGGGCAAGTAGGTTGGGATGGAGATGCAAGAAGTTGATGAAGGACTTTTGGCCAGTGCTGTACGTCTTCCGGGTGCTGGAGGCAAGTCCGTGCCAGAGGTAAAAGGCGACTGTGCGGGAGTATTGAGAATGCGTTTCAAACCAGTGAGTTGGGGGATTGGAGAGGAGGGTTTCCGCGGCAGGTGAGGTGAGAGTTGGAACAGGCGGGTGTACTGGAAGCGGGAAGCTGCGTCAGCGAGCGCGTTATCGGCAGATGAGAGCCAGACGGAGGAGAAGGTGAAGTCGAGGCAAGCGGCTATCATGAGAAGGGTTCGGAGGACCGTCATTGTTGCGCGCGATCTGTTCCGGTCGGTTTCAATCGCGCGTACGATGGCCTCATTGTCGATGTGGAAGACAACATGATGGCCAGCCCAGAGATGTCCCCAGCGCAGTGTAGCCTGAAGAGCGGCAAAGATCTCCTTGAACTGGATATCCCGTTTTCGGAATCGCCGAGGCACTCGAGAAGCGAACCAGTAGGATTGGAAGACACCCCCAATGCCTTTGGTTCCGCTTGCATCCGTGAAAACGTGGAGGGTTGTCCGTGGAGGTGTGATGAGGCGTACTCCGTTCCATCTGGAGTAGAAGGTGCACCACCAATGGATGTCGGCTCGAGCATACGCGGGGATGTGGCGGGTAGCGAAGTGGGAGGGAAATGATGTGGAGAATTCGATCAGGCGCCGGATGAATGCGCGTCCGTGCGGAACGACTTGCGCAGCGAATTGAAGGAAGCCGATAAGGGCTTGGAGTTCCCGAAGACGGCAAGTGTGGCGCGCATGCCATGCGGTGAGTTGATCCCCTAGCCAGATAAGCTTATCGGGAGGCATTCGAGCCTCCATGGCCATGGTGTCGAGTTCGAGCCCCAGGAACTCGAGCTCCGTGCATGGGAAGACGGTCTTAGAGAGCTGGAACTGTAGGCCGAGTTGTTCGCCTAGAGCGATAGTCCATTCAGTTGCGCTGTTTGCGAGAGGGAGGGGAGTGGAAGGCGGGAAGATGGGTAAGAAGTCGTCAAGATAATGTCTGAGAGAAGCTGGGATGTGGCGAACAATGATCCAGTGGAGGGCTTCCGCAAATAGATTGAAGATGTAGGGGGCAGTCTTCGCGCCGAAAGCGAGGACTACGTTGTAGTAGAATTTGTTGCTCCAGTGACAGCCGAGTAGTGGCCAATCCTGGTGTCGGACAGGGATGTGCCGGAACGCATCCTTGAGGTCAAGCTTGGCTAGCAGAGTGCCGGGGCCAAGGCGGCGAATCTCGGAGACAGCGGAGTCAAAAGATTCATAGGTAATGTGACTCTCGGAGTCGGTGATGCCATCATTGACTGAGTCGCCGGGAGGCCAGGAGAGGTGGTGGATGACACGTAGTTTTGCTGGGTTGCGGGGGCGTGAGACAACGCCAAGAGGGGAGCTGCGGAAGTCCTTGAATGGTGGCGACGAGAAGGGGCCATGGATCCGGTTGCGAAGCAAGAGGGCTTCGATATCGGCATCAACTGTGGCAGGATGCTCGAGGGCGGAGCGGAGATTGCGGCACGCTTGCGGTTTGCGGTCACCCGTGAAACCAAGACTGGCACCATAATCGATTATGTGAAGTAGTGAGTCTACAAAGTGGCGATCCGGGTATTCGGAGAGGTAAAACTCCCATGCGGGGCGGTGAAGGGAAGACTGCACGGGGACAGACTCCTCGCTGGTACGGAGATGCACAGAATTGGCGCGTGGGTCCGTATTGGGTCGGAGGGGAGGAGGTGGTCCTGGTGGGAAGAGAGTAGCATAAGGGAGAGCTGGTAATGGAGATAACTTCGGAGATGAGTGGGAGGAAACGAGTTGGCCGTCCGTGAGGCGAGAGCTAGCGACGGACGACGGAGCGGCAGAGGGGCCGCTAGCCCTGCCAGGGCTTCAGGTAGCTGCGCCAGGAGCTGCGCCGGTTTTTGTGCATGCCGACTGCCCGTGATCGGTAGAGTTGCAGCTAGTGCACTTATGGACGCGTTTGTAGCGGCAAGGAGAGGCACAGCTGCCTTTGTTGAAAAGGCGACACACTTCGGGTGACTGTCCAGCGGAGGACGACGCTGAGGAGGATTTGGCCGGCTGTGCGCCACGCATGACGCGGGGGCGCTCTTGACCGTGCAGATGGTCGCTTTTGAGTGTGTCATCGACTGAATCCCAGCCGGAGAAGATGCCGCGAGTCATCTCGCGGCGGCGTCGGAAATGGAAGTCCATGTGATAGGCAAGAACCGCGGGCCAGTGGTACTTCTCGTTGTACTCTTCGAGTCTGCGCAGATAGGCTGAGGAAGCGCGGACAACGTGGAGCAGTGTCGCAGCGTCGTTTCCAGAGGCAACGAAGGCGGCGAGGATGTCGAAGTAGGTAGAAAGGGGACTGTAGAGCGCGTGGAAGTTGGGATAGTCTTTCACGGAGGCTTCGCGGACGACGAAGGCGCCAGTGCCGTCGAAATCGAACGCCCGAGGAGCCTTGTCGCGGTAGCGGGAGTCCAGCTTCGAGAGGTCCATGGGCTTAAATTCGTGGCGCGCGATGTCGAGGAGCACGCTTGCCTCGACGTTGGGGAATAGGTCAAGTAACGACGTACCAGCGCTGTTCGTAGTGCTTGTTGCGGGAGGTACAAACGACGGGAACGATGCCGCAGTGATTTGGGCAGCGGGCGTTGCAGAGGCACCAGGAAAAGCGCCCCCAGCGGACATCGCTGCGAATGCTGCTGTCATAGCAGCCATGAGCTGCGCCGGCGTGAGCATTGCAGTGTTGTGCTGGTCACTGGGATTCTGCTCGCCCGGCGGGGGTGTGCCAGAGCGGGAGTTGGACTCGGTGCCACCGGCCATGTCGAGATCGGGATGGATATCGGGAGAGGAGGTAGATGCGAGGAAGCGACCGTCAGGGCCGCGAAGAGGTTTCTTACGGCGCGGAGCCGTGATGCAGCGAAAATGAGGAAGTACTCGCTGTCGAGGGACGAACGAGCACGCGGGAGAGAGACAGGGTGAGGGGACAAGACACGAGAACTGAGGCTTTATATACGTAGAAGAGAGACAAAGCGTACTACTATAGAAGGGGGGCTTGTGGCAAGCCAAGACCGTGGCCGACAAAGCTAGTGAGAGGAGTGGCCGACGCTTGAGAGGCGCGCGCGTGCGCGCGCGCTGTGGCCGAACAACTCGCGCGCCCCCATAGACCCTGGTCAATAACTTGACCACAACATATGTATTTACGTTTTTTATATATCTACAAGGCGAGATGGCCGAGCGGTCTAAGGCGCCAGACTAAGGAAACGGGATTCAAGCCCTGCGATCTGGTCCGAAAGGGCGTGGGTTCGAATCCCACTCTCGTCATTTTTTCCCCTCAAATCGTCCTGGTTTACTGTGTATCCCAGAGTGCGACCCCGAGCTTTCACAGCGTATCACCCTACTCCACGACCAGATATAACGACGATGATTTTAAAGCGCTATGGTTGAAGGATCAAAGGATCACTGCAACGCAGCCTGTACGAAGTTCTGGTAACAAACAAACAGCTTTTGTATAACCATCCTCGGATTCGTACGCAAGTTCACGACAGCCACGTAATAAACTCGTCCGCCTCCGGCTGCCTGTGGATCGCTGCAGCTATAAGCTTCGCCACGACCCGCTCCGCCTGCACCGACGGGTGGAGCTCGTCGAACCTACACACACCCCCGACCGTCAGCTCTGCTAGCGCACACGACGAGAAGAGAACTGAGGCGAGGACACGCACCAGAGGAAGCTGTCCTGGTCGGTGCCGACGGCGTCGGTGCACACGCCCGGGTCGCTCGTGCGCTCGTTCGGCGCGAAGACGCACGAGTGCGCGCAGCCGGTGACGTTGAGCGGCGCGGTGCCGTTCAGGAAGCGCTGCGGCTGCGCGAACATCTGCGCAAAGAGCGTGTGCGAGTCGAAGAGGCCTGGATCACAAATGCGTGAGCGCCGGGAACGCAGGGGAGAAAGAGTGGGGGAGGGAGGGGGCTCACCGATGTGGGCACCTGGGAGGGTGGGCGCGAGGGCCTGGAGCATGAGTTTCGCGATGGCGTTGCCCGAGGTGGTGAGCTCGCGCATGAAGACGCTCCACTCGGTCGTGTTACGCTCCGCGGTCCAGAAGCGGTTCGGATACGAGTCTGCGGCGTAGAGGATCGTCGTCTCAAGTGGGATCATCTGTGAGTGGGATCGCGTCAACGGCCGGCGTGTTTCTCCACGCACGCAAAGGAAGAGACAGCGCAGAGAAGGACGCGACGCTCACGTTTTGGAAGATGAAGTTCCTTGCGCCCGACTTGTACAACGCGCTGACCCAGTTCACCGCGCACGCCGTCGTGTCGACCACAGTGACGCCAGGGTTCGCTTGCCCGGTGAGCAGCGTGCCGGCCCCAACGTCGTTCGTCCCGATCCAGAGCGTGTACATGGTCTCCGCAGGGGAGAGCCGCCCGAGCGAACCGTTCGCCTTCGCGGCAAAGTATGCGGGGAGCTCGTCGTCGAACACGCCCGGGAAGACGCGCGGGGTGAGCTTGTTGCTGCACGTCGCGCCGGACTTGGCGAACGGGAAGAGGGCGAGGTTCCCGTCTTGCGCGGCGAAGACGGGCCACATGATCCCGCCGTCTGCATGGGTATCCTGACACGCGGGAAAGAGGTCGGTATGTGCGGTATGCTTGGGAGTGAAATCGGGCTGAGAGGAGTGGACTCACGATATCCGTGTACGAGTCTCCAAAGGTGACGAGGTTCTTGATCTGGTTCGGGGTGGGCCCCGCCGCGAACACCGAGAGCGCGAGAGCATATGAGAGCACTGCGGCGACTGCGAAGCGAAGCATCCTGCCGGGTAGTTTTGAGGGAGTGTCTGTGGGATGGCCCACACCCACGCCCTCCTCGACGCATTTATACTGCCTGCTCGCAGGATGTTCCTTCTCTCCTTCACGTACGTGCGCCATCATCTGACCTTCCACATTATCCATCCGGACCTCCGGTTTCATAGCGAGCTTTCGCCGGCAGCTTTTGGGCTCGAAATACGCGTTCTTGCGGTTCTTGGCCCGCTTAGGCCACGCGGGGGTGCGTGAAAGAGGAGATCGCGGCAGAGACACGTGAGGGGCGTGGGGGCCTTCATCGTCGGGGGCACCAAATGGAGCGATTCGGGCGCACGGTGGAGTGTGGAGGAAAATGAAAGATACATCCGCTGACCTCACCGTCCTTCCGTTTCCCATGCCTCAACGCGAGGCGTCACGAACAACGTGATCCTGGTCACTACGACCGTCACCTACTCGGTGCCGGGCCGAACACGCCGATTGCACTCCTACCTCTTTTCAGCGATTCCGATGTATTGTTCGAACTTCGAAGGCTCCATGATCTGCATGTCATACTGCGCGTATAGTATTCTCAAAACTCATAAAAACGTTGATCTACGTTTATCCCAGGAAACTCGTCCTCAGCCCGCGTGGAGCCCGAAACGAAACGAACGACAAGGTGATCAAAAGGCGCGACCAGAGATCGGTCGTCCAGACATCGCATTTCATGCGCTACAAATACATATACATGGTAATCCTTCTGGGGGCTTAGAGGCCCTTAACCTTCTTCCACGACGAGCGCGAGCTGAGGTCCGCCCACCAGCGCGCGACGTTCGGGTATTTGCCGCTCTCGAGGAAGTCGATACTCTGCGCCTTGAGCATCGCGCCGTACGGAAGGTGGAAGAGGTCCGCGAGCGTGACCTCCTGCGTGGACCAGTCAGCGCCTGAGGCTCGGAGAAGGTAAGCATAGAACGTACATCGCCAGCGAGGTACTTGGTCTTGCCGAGGAGGACGTTGTAGGCCGCGAGCTTGCCGTCGAGCGTCGTGGTGAGCTTCTTGACCGCCTCGGGGTCCGTGGTGAGACCAAACATCCTGAAAGCCCGAATTCAGTCCCTGTCGGCTAACCCTCGCAACAACCGTACCGCCCCCGCACGCGCGTACGCAAAGCAAAGAAATAACACTCACGGCTTGAACACGTTCTCAAACGTAACCGCGCTTGCGCTCGGGTCAAAGTTGGAGACCTCGATGCTCGCCGCCTGCTCGAACAGCGCCGTCTTCTGGAGATCGCTCGTCGCGGGGATCAGGCCCTTCTCGACGCCGCCGTGCTTGAGCGCGATGTAGCGGCAGATGGCGCGCGACTCGAAAATCTTGAAGCCGTCGTCATCGAGGTAGGGGACCTGGCCGAACGGCTGCACTGCGGTGAACTCGGGCGCCTTGTGCTCGCCCTTGCTGAAGTCGATGGCGACGAGCTCGTAGGGAACGGAGAGCTCCTCGAGCACGGTTTGGACGCGGTTCGTGCACGTCGAGTGGGGGTTGCCGTAGAGCTTGAGGACCATAGCTGTGTGTAGAGGGAGGTGCGAGAGTGTGTGTGAGAGGTGAGGAAGGTGCTGCTATCGATGGTGCTCGATGGGCCTTATATATGTCGGTCGTGGTCACGATCACGATTTGTGGGGTGGCGAACGGTTCAGTTGAGAGGGCGGCGGTGAACTGGTTTGATGGTGCGGCACGGCTGCTCAAGGTTGAATGTTCGAACGTTGAACGGGCGTCTGTACCAGAAACGGGCGGAAGCTCACACAAAGGACCATGACCAGAGACCACACGCGCACCCTGTTGCTCGAGCCGACGCTCGGGAGAGTAAGAAGGTTGATCACGGGATCGTTCTCAATAAGCAGGCCAGAGAAGGACGGAACGTCAGCGATCGAGGACGTCTGGAGATTGCAGGGCAGAATGGTTCAGGCCAACCGTTGAATGCATCACCGTCCGCAGAATGACTCACCCCTCGAGAGACCTTCTGGAAGTGTTTAAAGCATTGACACCCGGCAAATCTATAGTCGACATGTTTGACCAAAAGCAGGATCAGCTTGAAGTTTCGACAGCGGAGAAGCTGGCGCTTATGCAAATGTGATTGCGAGATCCAAGCCATGACGTGGCTCCGATGACCAGATGACAAATAATTCACACCGGCAGATCTCTCGACCGATCAGGGTATTCCAAAGCGTGAGCTTGGTGGGTTCAACTTCCAGACGATCCAACCGCGACGAGCTGAACCAGATACTTCCTTGGCCCTCCTTGGTTTGACTTGCCCCATCGTATCTAATGCCGAATCCCCGCCGACTTTCGCATCATCAACGACCACTGTTCACTCACGGATATGGAGGTCGGTCTTGTTCATTCGAGGTTGTTCTCACTGCTTTTGACATTACAACGCCCAGGAATTTTCTTGGGTGACCGTCGTGCCGTTCTCATCTTCGGCCTTCGCGTGAACTCAGGTGATCGCGCAACCAGACTGAGAAACTATGACGTCGGCATCTTGCAAGATCTGGCTTGAGCTAGGGTTGCTACAACGTGGCTGAGGACTTGCGGGGTTTTGTGGGTGTCGGTGAGTCATCCGGTCTCGGGATTGCGTCTTATGGCGCGGAGGACTTGCATACACTTGTATGCACTGCTGTGGATCCCAAGCGCGAGACATTCTCTTCTTTTTGACCATAATACGGGTGTCTTTCGTTGAGGCAACACCCATGCTTACGCGGATGACTTTTCGGGCCGTATATATGCATACCAGAAACGTGTCGCAAGCACTTCAGTACATGACTGCAGACCAGCGAAGACTGCACGTGAGATTCGTATGACAGAGAACAACGAAAATCAAACGCGTGCACTCTGAATATCATTCACGAAACAAGACCCGTGACGAATGGTGTCCTGCACTAACATCACGGCCACTTAAAGGCCGGCAGAGAACGCCAGTTTATTTCATCGTACCGCATGACCATCTGCTCGCGCATTTTTCCGGCACTGATACTGGGATTTTTATAGGGTCTCCGACAATCGTGCCCCGCCAAGTTGCCAGTGAGGGGTTCTCTCAGGCATCGTTATTGCATTCAAGTGTTCGGGATGCGAAGTCACGCGCAGGCCCCAGTGCACCCCCAGGCCGCGCTTCCTGCTCTCTCTGCGGATCGCGTTTCAAAATCACGAAGGCAAACCCGTCCCACAAGGACCCTCCGTCACTTCCGTCCTCTGCACACGTAGGACAGGACCTGGCACGGGGCCATCCTGGGCTAGGCTCGATCATCCAGCCGGTCGGTTCAAACTCCGCCACGCCTTCGGCGGTCGGTTCACCGACCGGCTGGTCAAACTGGTCGCCCGTTTGGCAGGACCGCTCAAAAAGGAAGTCGTACCTGAAGGACTTAGAAAAATCGCGCGTTTTGGCCTCTGGAGATGCGGTAGCTCCCCTGTACACATCCTTCCAGTCCACTCCCTCCGGTGTGCAGGTTGTTGTAACTAGTTGTAATTGTACATTCTAAACCAGCTGTGAGTAAATTGCGGGTCTGCATCACCGTTTTCGATGTCAGAGCCGGGTGCTAACGCGCTGGTGGCGGCTGCTTGAAGGGGTGGAGGAGGCAAGGGGTGCAGAATCGGGTGGGGATTGAGCATGAAAATCTCGGGACAGTCAATGTACATCGTAGTGAAATCATTGCTATGGTACATGGCGTGCGTGGAGTGTTGGATTCGAGCGGGTGTCCGCCTGGAGGGCTGAGGGTATAAGCACCATGGGGATGTCCAGCCATGGGGATGACAGGATGACGAGGTGCCGCCGAGGAAAGTCATCGCAGTATGCGGGTATGCTGATCTTGAGTGGGGTGCGGCCTCTTGGTCACGTCAATGAGAGCCACTGAGGTCCGCGCGACGACTTGTGTGCGTCCTGCGCGCAGCTCTTCACGCCCAACCGCGGGCACGCGCTCGCCGCCCACCTCGGCGCGCTCAAGCTCCTCGCGACGATCGACACCACCGTCGCGGACGCGGACGCGCCCGTGCGGGGCGCGCTCAAGCGCGAGGCCAGCGCGGCGCTCGTCCGCAAGCACGGGTTCGACCCGCGCGAGCACCGCACGTACGTCGAGCGTGTCTTCGGCCGCTTCGCCAACGCGCCCGTGCGGGATGACGAAGTTGCGCATGTCGGGCGCGAGCCGCTCGGGAAGCTCGCGCGCGCGGACAGGCTCTTGGGCCCGTACGAGATGGCGCGTGGGTACGGGCTCCCGACGGAGAACCTCGCGACGGGGATCGCGGCTGCGTTCCTGTACGACATGCCGGAGGACGAGCAGAGCAAGGAGCTGCAGCGGCGCCTGAAGGACAGTGGGGCTTTGAAGGTCGTCGCGGAGGTGACGGAGTACAAGGTAGGGTCGGATGAGCACCGGGAGATCGTGGGTGTGTACGAAGAGCTGCAGCGCAAGCGCGTTCTCACGCAACACCCACGACGATAGTGCGTACTTGAACGACAGCAATGGGGAGCGTGGATCTACTACTGTCATCGCCGTTGCTGCAGCAAGAGACGTCACGTTTGCCAACAAGGAAGAGCCTTCCGTCACAGTCTGTGAACATTGAGGAGCACTATTAGCACCCTATATACATGTGCATCAACTCACCTACACAGATTGTGAATGCCAGTGCAGCGCGCAGGAGTAACCAGAGCGTGCGGACATGGCGCGCGGGTGAGTTGCGGGGAGGCGCCCGCGCACCAAGATGTCTGCAGAGTGCTGAAAGCGCGATTTTTCTAAGTCCTTCAGGTACGACTTCCTTTTTGAGCGGTCCTGCCAAACGGGCGACCAGTTTGACCAGTCGGTATGGGATTCTCCTTGCCTTTCGAACTCCGCTGTTCCCATCACGCCACATAGATATCCCCCCGATCGGGAGAAAGGTGAGGAGAATCCCGACCGACTGGTTTGCGAGTCTAATCCTGGGCCATCGCGCTGCGGGCTGCGAACACGTCAGGCCGCCAGGCCCGGCGCATCAGTCGTCAGGCCCCGCCGCGGCCGAGCGTGTGGCACATCAGACGCAAACACAGCAAAGACGAGGAAGGCTCTGATCTAGCCCAGTGCGTACTCTTCGTTGAGCCCTGCAACAGCCTGCAACTCAGTCAACCCAAATCCAATGATCTCTTCGCATTAGGTCCTCCCCCTCGAGCCCCGAGGGCCGATCTTATCAGCTTAATCAGCCGACATCACACCGCGCATCTCTTCCGGCCACAATCCTCAACGATTCAGGTTGCAGGCCCTCCGTCCGTCCGTTCTTTCCGTCTATCTGCACTTCTGTGTCTACCCTTCGACCTGTTACCGCTTGCTCGCGACACGAGACGAGCGGGGGAGGGTTTCTCACGGCGTGGTACAGAGCGTCTGGGACGTGACGAGACCAAGCATAGATGATCCAGGTCATTTTACAATACCCGGGGGACGGGTTTTTTGCCCATCAAGGCGCATCTCCCTATCTTGTGGCAGCGAACGGCAGACGCAAGTGGAAATCCGAGAGGCAGCTGTTCGTTCATTGCGAGGAAATTGAACTTACACCAGAATCACGTGTGTTTGCCTATCACTGAAATGATCATGTCAAGCCGCTGGCTTTGCCAACTCCGACTCGGATGTAAAAAGGGACTACCATCAAGACTGGGGCCCGAACACCCTTTGAGTCGACCCCTCACCGATTTCTTTCCGCGGTACCTGAGGCCTCACCTTCAAGTGCAAGATGCAAGTGGCTACCAAACCAGCGGAGACGAACGGCATGCGTGTGGCTATCGTGTCAGCCCACAGCATATTCCTTCCGCACTGATAACACTTCGGCTGACCACGCTCTAGTGGTGCTGGCATGGGCGGCCTCGTCCTCGCCCTCGCGCTCCAGCAACGCTGCTCCCAACACACCATCACGATCTACGAATCCACCGCGGCGCTCTCGACCGTCGGGGCTGGGATCGGGATGGTCGCGCGCGTGTGGGACGTGCTGCGCGCGCTCGGGCTCGAGGACGAGTTGCTCGCCGTGACCGGTGCGGGGAACTCTGCGAGTGCGGAAATATTTTACTCCGCCGCGGCCAAATCGCTGACGATCATCGCGCGTCGCAGTGGTGCCGATGCGCCACGTCAAGGCGGACGAGCCCGCGGGCGGGGTTGAGTTTTACACCAGCGTACCCAAGAGTGAGTGCTCGCGCTACCGTGTGCTTCCAGTGCGATCATCGAGAGACGATTTTGATGCCGATCGGCCCCAGTGCGGACGTTCCACCGCGGGGACGTGCAGAAGGTCATCGTCAACCACCTCAATGACATCGACTCCGTCATCCAATACTCCAAGAGGCTAGTTTCGTACGACGAGCCGGCGTCGCTCGGCGAGCCGATCACTCTGCACTTCAGGGACGGGACGACGGCGGCTTGCGACCTCCTCGTCGGCAGCGACGGGATCCGCTCGGCCGTGCGCCGCGCGATGTACGAGCGGCTCGCGGGCGAGGCGGAGAAGACGAGCCTCGATCGCGCGCAAGAGCTTCGCAAAGTCGCGGAACCCGTCTGGTCGGGGCTCGTGGCTTATCGTGGCTTGATCCCGGCGGAGAGGGTTCCAGCGGAGGACGTGGAAGACGTCAGCAAGATGACGATTGTGCGCCCTTTTTGACCAAACTCAGGCTGCGCCTGTGCTGATGTTCCATCTTCGCGCACAGCGTCTCGGGAAGAATAAGGTCCGCCGAGCAACTTGCGCCGTCTCCGAGCGCATTGGGTTTAGTGTGTGCACAGATTGTTGTCAGCTACCCCGTCATGGGCGGGAAGATGTTCAATCTCGCTGCGTTCGTTGGCACTTCGGATGACGCAGGCACCCTGTATGATGGCGAATGGTCTCGGCCCGCCACTGTCGAAGAGGCGTACGCGAATTTCGAGAAGTGGGACCCGCTTATCCTGAGGATCATGAAGGTGCGCGTCGATACGCTGCTAAATTACTGCACATGTCCACTCATGTACTGTCCGATTTCAGGGTCTGAACTCGCCGATCCTCTGGGCCATCCATAAAACACGGGAGCTCCCGACGTATGCTCACGGAAGAGTCGCGATCGTCGGAGACGCGGTACGTCTCCGCGTTCTTCCCTGTATTCTCATTCATTGTCAGGAATTCACGCGTTCCATATGCGCAGGCCCATGCCATGATGCCCTTCCAAGCCGCGGGCGCAGGCCAAGCGATCGAGGTTCGCTTTCCCATCCCCATTCTACATCTCGCGCGCTTGGGACGCTAACCGGCTTCACGCAGGACGGCTTCGTGTTGTCCGAAGTCCTCGCCCACCCTTCCGTCACCGCGCGCACACTCCCCGCCGCGCTCGCGGCGTACGACACGGTTCGGCGCCCGTTCGCGCACGCCGTCCAGCGCGCGTCCGACGAGACCACGGAGACGTACCAGCTCCGACGCGCGGGCTGGGAGGGCGTGACGGTCGAGGAGAGCGCGGCGGGCGGGTTCGCGGCGGGGCGCCTTGCGGCCGTCGCGGAGAAGATATATGGGATGAGTGATTGGGCGCTGAGGAGCGGGATCATGGATGATTGTGAGCGCGCTGTGAAGTTGTTCGAGGAGCGGTGCGCGAGCATGTAGCTCCGAGATCAGATTGGGAGGATAGGTGTCTCGTACAACGAAAAAGTGATCTGAAAAAGCAAACAGCACAAGCGTTCAACGAAGAGGGTGGTATGTCACCCAAGCTCGTTTACTCGTACACCCGGGCCTGTTTACTCGTACAGGCGACACTACTACGCAGGCAGTGTGGAGAGCTCTTGGACCTTGACCCATGCGGGCAGTGCGCTCACATCCTTCCACCAGCGCGCGACGTTCGGGAACTTCTCCGTGTTCTCCAAGAAGTCAACGCCCACTAACGGGAGGCGTGAGCCCATCGGAAGATGGAACATGTCCGCGAGAGTGAGCTCCTGCAGTCCCGCACGCGATAAACCAGTGTGAGCGGATTCCAGTCCCGGTCGCAAATCAACCAAAGTTACTCACATCGCCGCCAAGGTACTTGGTCTTGCCAAGGAGCACCTCGTACACCGCGAGCTTACTCTCCAGGGTCTCTACAAATCGCGCTGCCTCCGCTTCGTTCGTCGGTTGCCCAAACAATTTGCTAAAAGCGCACACACAACCCATCAGCCCCGTTACCCCCTGAACCCCGCATAGAACCTTCCAGAGTACGCACGGCTTCAAGAACCTCTCGACCACCACCCCCGTTGCGTTCGGGTCGAAGCTCGTCGTCTCTATGCTCACCGCGCGCTCGAACAGCGCCGTCCCCCGGCGGTCGCTCTGCGCGGGGAGCACGCTCCCGAGCCCGCCGAGCGCGAGCGCGAGGTCCCGCGCGATCGCGCGCGACTCGAACAGCTCCGTGCCGTCGTCGTCGACGATGTACGGCACCTGTCCGAAGGGCTGGTGCGCGAGGAACGCGGCAGACTTGTGTTCGCCTTTGGACATGTCGACGGGGACGAAGGTGTAGGGGATGGAGAGGTGCTCGAGCACGATGCGCACGCGCTGCGTGCAGGTCGACATCGGGAAGCCGGCGAGCTTGAGGACCATCGTGGAGAGTGGAGGTCGTGTAGGGCGCGCGGATAAGGGGAAATTCACACAAACGAGGAGGACTGTGAGTGATGCTATATATGCGCCCGCCTTGAGGAGAGAGGGGCGAGTCACGGGCAGGCGCCGGCCGGGGCCGGCCCAGTCCCTGATTTCATGTTCAGAAGCTCGAAAGCGCGCTCGGAAGGTACCATTCGACATATTTATATGGAGCACACACGACGAGTCACATTCGCCAACTTTAGCGCGGTAGAAGACGGCATTCCATGCAGAGCGGCAGCGCTCACTGAGACTTGATCTTCTGCCAAGCCGGGCGGGCCTCGATCTCCTTCCACCAGCGGGCGACGTTGGGGAACTTGGTCGGGTTGACGAGGAAGTCGATGCCCTGCTTCTCGAGGAGCGCGCCATACGGCAGGTGGAACAGATCGGCAAGCGTAACGTTCTGAGCGATGCGACGCGGTCAGAAAGGACGATGGCAGCGGACTCGAGCAGAAGACGCACGTCACCGGCGAGGAACCTGGTCTTGCCGAGGAGGACCTCGTAGGCCGCGAGCTTCTCCTCGATGGTCTTCGTGAAGCGCGCCACGGCCTCCTTATCGGTCTTCTGATCGCGTATCCTAAGGCATCCAATAGCCCATCAGTCCAGTCCTCAACATCTAATCCCACAGAAGGTATAAACTCACGGCTTCACAATATTCTCGACCGAGACCGCGCTCACGGGCGGGTCGAAGCTCGTCACCTCGATGCTCACCGCGCGCTCGAAGAGCGCCGTCTTCTCAAGGGAGTCGCCAGGCGAAGGCATCAGGCCCTTCTCGACGCCGCCATACTTGAGCGCGAGGTAGCGGCAGATGGCGCGGGACTCGAAGAGCACGAAACCGTCGTCATCGATGTACGGCACTTGCCCGAACGGCTGGAGCGTGGTGAACTCGGGTGCCTTGTGCGCACCCTTGGACATGTCGACGAGGATGAAGGTGTACGGCACGTCAAGCTCCTCGAGGACGAGCTTGACGCGCTGGAAGCAGGTCGAGAAGGGGTAGCCGGCGAGCTTGAGGACCATTGTGGCGACGAGGAGTTGATGAGTGGTGGGTGTAGCCGTTCGAGGTGGGACTTGGAGGGTTCGGTGGGTTGGCCAGGTCAGGTTTCAGACGATGCTGTTCTTATACGACCATTTCCAAACCGCGGCCCTTATATTTGAAGTAGACGTCATGCCGCTCTCATCAGAAGCAGACCTAGTAGAACCAAGTGTCAATGCTACACGCGTGAGACGCCATGCGGACCCGCAGTACGCAGCGAACCATTGAACAAACTTACCGGAGCGCAACCCAGGGGTACAAAGTCCGGGCTGCCGCCGCAAGCGTGTTTTCCAGTTGGCAAGTGCCTTTCCTTTACTCACTCCAACCGCACCGGGGTTACGTTGTCCTCAGGTGGTGGTACATGGGCAAAATGGATGAGGCGCGCGTGATGGGAGAAGCGCCGAGCGTTTTGCTGACTGAGCGTTCCCATGCTGGTGTCAACTCAACCACCACCGGCCGGACAAGGGCCGCATCAAGATGACAGAACATCCGTAATTCGCCGTCCACATCGATGCGCATCACCTGGCCGCAGAACCGGTGCATGTCCCTCCGAATCTAAACCCGTCGCCCGCCATATCGTCAGGCTGCACTATCGGAGGTGCTCGCGGAGAAGCTCGGGGAAGGTGTCGGCGGAGATTGCTCAGCACCTGCGTAGCAAAAGGAAATTACAGGTCTGAGCGCAAACAAGTGTATGCAGGACGCCACGCACAGCTGCAATCACGAGTACGTGTTCAGATTGGCTTACTAGGGATCTACAGCCTACGACGTCAAAAGTGACCTAAGTGTGAGTGAGTGTTGGAGCAGCGCCCGGGATTCTTGACTACATTTACTTCTACGGCGAATAATTAAGCACAACAGCCGTCCAAAACACGCACCACCCGCGATATAGATACAGGGTATCACCCTCCCAACCCCCGGCTCCTCCGTCCGGAGTCCAAAGTCCAGACTTCGAATTCATTCCGCGTACTGGGGCGGCGGCCCAGGCGGGAGCCGCTCCTCGCGGAGCTGCTGCAGCTGCGTCCGCAGGCTCTCGATCTCCGCAGCCCACGGCGACGATCCCGCGATCGCGTCGTCGTCGTCGAAGCCGAGGTCGGGCAGCGCGGGGACAGACCGCCTGGGGAGGTGGTGGGTGCGGAGCCGCGGTGCTCCGGACGCTTCGCCGGACGGCGTCGGGTGTGCAGACGGGAGCTGCTTGTCGTGGAGCCCCGGGGGAGTGGTGGGGTCGGACGCGGATGCACCGGGAGGGTCGGCATCTGCTGGGAGAACAGGAGGGGTGGCGTCGGGTGGAGCAGTAGAAGAAGAAGCTCTGAGGTCCTGCGCATAAATGATTGAAGGAGTGATGTCTGTGGCCTCGACAAGGATGGTCTGAGAGGAGATGGCAGGGATTGCAACCTCTGATACAGACTCCTTCATTTCTTGTAGATCCTCAGCCGGAACGATGGTGGAAGTGGGTTCCAGAGGAGGAATGGGCTCAGGAGAGGAGAGTGTAGTGAGGGGAAGCGCCGGGGGCGGTGATGGAAACGACAGAGGTGTAACCGGATGCGAAAGAGATACGGGCGTGGTAGGCAGCGCTGGGAAATTCTGCACCGTGAAGAGAGGGCTGGTAGGTGTCGGCGGCAAGTCGCGCGTGAGATCGTACGAACTCGCTGAGGGTGATGCCCATCTCCCGGAACCCACTTGGGACGAGGGCGAGGAGACGACCAGGAGGCTCATTGCAGTAGCGCTCATTGGTCTGGATGGTTCGAGAGAGGCTTTCACTTCCAAGGAATGTTCGGAGGGGGGGCTGACGACGGAGCCGTGTGGGAACAAACGATTGGTGAGATGGAGACTACGAGGGAGCTTGAATTTGTGGCGAGTGGTACGGCGTGGTTGGCCGCGATGAGTATAGAACCATGCACCGGCGCCGGCGAGGAGAAGTGCGAAGAAGACTCCGATTACGCCGCCTATGATGGCACCGGGTGGAAAGCGATGGCCTGTATCATCGGAAAGACCAGAATGGGTTGACACTGATCCGTCAGAGCCATTGAAGGGCACGTGGATAGTGGTGTTGCTTAGACTGGGGCGCAACATAACTATCGGAATCTCGCACATGTGTGGATTAAGCTATGCTCGATACTCACCTCAGAGCGAGATGGGAGTACACTGCACCGACCGCTGGACTGTAGCGATTCAGTCAAATAGGTTCCTGGTGTCTCAAAATGATAGCGACGCACCCCCCCGCGCCGATAGACAGGTTCCCAGATGAACACTGATAGTACTCCGCCATCGCGCCTTGGGCCCCATTATATCCCGCTCGTTTCCAGGCGCCAGCTATCATGGTGTCCCTCGTGGACGTATCGCTTTGAGAGACCGTGGCAGAGGCGAAGAGCAACCAAGCTGTGACAGGTGTCAGAAAAGCATGTAGCGTGCGGCGTGCGGCATGCTGCAACGTAGGGTACTCACGCAGGCTGCAGACGTCGTTCATGTCGGAACTTATGGGTAAGCCGTATGTTCCAGCTGATGGAAATTCTCAATATTCCGGAAAGGGCGTCCAGCAGAAGGCACATACCGGCGCTTTGCAAGAGAAATTTGTAGTATGAGGTTTGTGCATCCAACATCTTGAACACAAAATCAACGGAAGGAACGTGTAAACAGAAATGGTTCTAGACGTACCGACTGAGGAACCAGGTTTGTCCCGGCCAAACGATCGGCGTAGAGATTGTACATCAGCGACCAAGAGTCGGGCATCCCGTATATTCCGAGCAGATGCTGATCAGAACTGCTCGAAACCGCGTTGGCGCTCCACGTGTTGAAGAGAGTCGATGCGAATGCCTGCGATTCGTTCAGAGCGCGCGGATGGGTTCCGCGAGAAACGAAACTCACGTCGTAATACGACGCATCTGCGCTTGCACCAAACACGCGACTGATGTCCGCCATGGCTTTTACTCCGATGATGCCTTTGATCGCGAGGTTAGTCATGTTCGCATTGCTGTCGCCGTCCCCGGCGGAGGACCTAAGGGACAAGATCAGAGCGGCACGCGCCGTTTACGGAGAAACGCACTGGTGATTGGGGAATAACGTAGTGCCAATGAGATAGTCGGCCCACTGCTTGGTCAGATTGTAGTGTTGCGCAAGCAGAGAACCAGAGCCAGAGATCCGCGCGTGCGCAAGCATCATGATCAGCATATTGCCCGACTCTGGGGAATGACGTCAGATCCCAATACAGTACTTTCGAGTCATGACCGCCTACGTTCCACGCCCTGTACTGCCGCGCCTCGCCCTCCAGGAGCGACGGGATACTGCGCCCCTAACCTCGGGGTCAATATCTCTAGGGCTCAAGACAATCAGCACCCACCAAGGTCTTGGACGGCGTACGGCGCTCCGTCCATCTTCGACTGCGATTCGAGCAACGGGGCGAGCAAGGCCCCCGCCAGCGACGCGTTCAGATACAAGAACGCCGGGAATGCCGCGTAGATTCCCTCCACCGGGTTCACGCGGCTGGACCGTGCACGCGCATCAGCCCTCCCGCGCGCTCAAAAGGCAGAGGGCACGCACCCAGAGGTCCCGACGTCCTTCATGAACGCCATCACGTCCGCCGCGCCGCCGTCGCCGCGCGCGACGGTGATGTCCACGCTCGCGAGCGCCTGGCGCGTGCCCAGCGCGACGAGCTGCGCGTACTCGGGCGAGACCGCCTCACCGGCGTCTGCGGCGATCTTGGTGTCGAGCGCGATCGCGCGCTTGAGCGCGGCGGGGAAGTCGGTCGTCAGCGCGTCGATCTGGCGGCGGCGGGAGTGAGCGTGAGAGTGCGGAGGGGGGTGGCTCGAGGTACGTACCGCGTTGGAGATGTCGGGGTACACGGTGGTGTAGTACGGCACGCGCTCTTGGACTGCCCCGGACGAGGTCGTGTACTGGATCGTGGGGTCGCGGACGTAGCCCACTGTCCACGACACGGGCTCGGGGGTCGAGATGATGCTGCCGAGGTCGAAGGAAAAGGCCGAAACCAGGTCATCCCTGTCAAAGGTGTGAGGTGACTTCTACTGGGCTGTAGGGCGAGCGTACAAAGGGAATGAGAGGGGGCCGGTGGCGTGGGTGTTCGGTAGATGTCCCAGAGAATGGAAACTTGCGTTCACCGCCGCGGCTTGATCCAACTGCCATGTGAGACTAGGAACCTGGCAACGGGGACAGCTGGTGAGCTTCTCGCTCGATGGACACAGACACAGCGAGAGATGCACTGACGGAGGGTGCGGCAAAGTACACCGTTCCGTCCAGCGCGCGGTCGTTCTGCTCCACGAATGGCTGAGGACTGATCAGGCTGAACCCGTGATAGACGCTACTTCCGGACGACGTGGACGTCCAATTCGCCGGAGCTGACGCATTGCCTGACAGCCATTCTGAACGAACGTGAGTATCGTGACCAAGAGTAAAGGACCAAGCACTGACCACCTCCGGTGATAGCCGAATACACCTGGACAGAATGCGGCTTGCTGTCGAGGGTGCTCGCTTCTATCGCGAGGTACGAAAACGGGAGAGACTGCTTGACCCAATCCGATGGCTGTAACCCATCCGACACAAGAACACGTAAGATCCCCACTCAGGCTTCCAAAAAAAATCGAAACGCACCTCAACAGGCGACAAGAACGTGACTGTGAGGTTCATCGGCCCCGCCTGCATCACGAACACGCTCCTCGTGGGGGTTACCTCGGTGCTGACCACGTTCGGAACCACGCTCCCGCTGCTGTCCGCCCCGAGCCATGTATACACCGCGCCGTCGATCCTGATCTGCCCTCTCCAGCCCCAGTCGGGGCCCTGTGGCCGCGTCAGCGCGCGCGAAACGAAGATAGGGGAAGAGAGGCACTCACAGTCTGCGACCAGAACGTCGGCCAGGCGTTATTGAGAGGCTGAGACCCGTTCGCAGCCGCGTGCCACATGTTGAGGTATGGGGACCGCACCGCGAGGGGGATGCTCGCCGGAGAAAATGAAGGTTGCGCGAATGCGGGTCCCAGAAACAGAAAAAGGGGCGTGAGGGCGGCCGCGCAGAGTGCTGGCCGCATCGTAGTGACAGTGAGGATGTGGGGGAGAACCGGGACGGTGGACGGCCGGGAGGGGTGCTATTCTCTCGCAGAGCCCACTGCACCCTCCATGAGTGCTGTCTGGAGCAGGCTGATGATGGTGGACGAAATCGGCGGGAAGACGGGCTGCTGGGATCCGTCGCATCGTAATGGAAGTCCGGATAGAAGGAAACTTGTTCAACGGTGCGGTTTAAATTTGAAGAGTGGACCTACGTTTACGCGGTATGATCAGTGCTTTCCTCCGTCGGCGACCATGATGAACGTCAAGCCAAGAGCCACACCCGGGAGTCCGATTCCCCGCTTCACGTGTCCGAATGATTGACATGACACGTAGCTTGCATGGGCCCGAGAACGCAGATGTCGTGTCGCGAGAGCATCGCGGACCATATTCTGCGCGAGGGAGATAGTGGAGGCGCAAGTCAACCTTTTCTCCGTCAGGGTGCTGGTACATGTAGAGCTGGGCCTTTGAGAAATTTAGACTACACATATATTTGGCGGGGTTTGAAACCAGTAAAGGTTGTGGGATTTAGCGCCTTACGTGGTTTCAGCGCTTCGGGCGGCCGACCCGCACAGCCTAGTCCAATAACGGACCGGCGCCGCTGCTATTACACCGATAAATAAAGTAAGTAACTGCCGAGCACGTGTATCGTAGTAACGTCAAAACAGCTGAGAATGCAAGGGAACGTGGTTACTGTAAGCTCTGGTCCAGAATGCGTTCTGGCGAACCGCTGTCCAGTGTCCACAGGCTTACCAGATAGATCAGCAGAGAGATCCCGCATACTACATCGCCCTCAATCTTGCCTCTCCAGAACCTCCCGCGCCCGCTCCACGTATAGCGCGAACCGCCCCTCGAACCGCGCACAAAGCTCCCGCGCGACACCCTCCCCACCAGGGATGCGGTCTCCCGCGATCGCAAGCGAGACGCCGCCCGCGTACGAGAGTACGCCGATGGCCAATGTCCCGGCGCCGGCTTGCGGCGGGAGCGCGTGCCAGGTCGCTATCTCGACGTTACTCGTCGTGATCGGTTTCGTCGGACCAGGTATGCTAGGTGGGGAAGAGCGGTGTGAATGTCAACACATGAACGAGAGCGGTCTGTCACGTACTTGGTGAGCACAGCGACAGCTACCAGTGATGTAAAGAGAGATGTCAGTAAACTGTAGAATGAGAAGGAGTGAAGGACCAAACGTACGAGATTCGAGGAGGGTCGTGATGATGGGTTCAATGAGCGCGGCTCGGAACAGTCGCGTGAACGGATTTGACGCGTCGTGGACTCGGCGGAACCATGAGAGGGGGAATAGGATGGGCGTTTGGGCGCAGAGCTCGATGAGGCGGAACCAAAACTTGGGCCACGACGAGTGTTTGAAGAGCGCGAGCTCGTAGCGACAGCGGTGTATGTGCGCGTGGAGTTCGCGCACGGTTGCGTCGGTATTGAGTGCACGCACCGGCGGTGGTGGCAGGTTGACGATAGACATCGTGGAGAGGTTGCGCATCGACAGGTCGCCGGGCTTGCGAATGCTCACCGGGCTTCGGAGACACACCAGCGCGTAAGTAAAACGCACAACACCACATGGACGCAGCATACGCACATCATGAAGCTCAATCGAGGAGGGAAGATCCGGTTGACCGCCCGTCTGACCCTGCCCAGGACGCTGCTCGGCTCCGGCTTGTCCGCCACCATGCCCGCGACGACGTCCGCCATGACTGCACATATGACATCGTTGAGCGTGACGTGGCCCTTGCCGCGCACCGCATTCTGACGACGCTCGCGCGGGACGCCCGCCACGGCCGCGCCAGGACGGGGACCGGAGAACGCCTGCTGAATGGCCTTGATGTCTTGGAGACTGAAGATGCGAGACCCTGCATATTCGCGCTTGTGTGTGTTCGACCCCGAGGAGTGTGAGTAGCCGCTGGGGAATTCGGGATAAAGCTTCTCGGTGCGCCAGAAGGTGAGGAGGAAGAAGATGATGGTCCGGGCGGCCTCATAGTTACTCCAAATCTGGGAGGACAGGATGGCTTGCCAGACCGACGTGAGCCAGAAGAGAATAGCGAGGAAGAGGTGGATGAAAGGGCCGAAGATGGCGCTAGCGGCGAACGGATCGAGTGGTTTGAGAGCGGGTTTGTATTCGGAGGGAGGGAGAAGGCCACGCTTGGCCTTGCGGAACTTGTCGAGGCCGGTCCTGACTTGCTTTGCGAAGTCGTCGAAGTAGGATGTGAGGTAGAGCTGGCTGATGACGAATCCTGCAGGGTGTCAGCTGCGTAGATATGCATGCAAGAGGGCGCTCTGTATACCTTGGCCGTCCGACAGTGTATGGTGACTGGAAACGATGTATGGGTGAGTCGCGTCCAACAGAGAAAGTGGATGAACGTCTCACGCTCTCGTCACCAGCACGGAGACAACCTGCTCGCCATCGTGGTAGTTGTCGATGAGTGTAACATCCCAGAGAGGACGCGTGAGGTCCCACCCACGCGACAACACGTCGCCGATCTGCATGTAAACACGTTGAGCCTCGTGCCCCCGCAGTGCGCAGCGTGGAGCACACTCACGAGGTCATCGAGCTCGACCTTGCCAGCGGGAGCGGGGAGGGAGCAGCGGAAGACATGGTTGCGGGGGTCGTAGTCGGGGTCGTCGACGAAGACGGCGCCATGCCAGAGGCGACCGAGGCCGTCGACCTTCTGGCGCAGGCGCGGGAACTTGTCCACCAGTTCCTTATGTTGCTGTCAATCTCGATCAGCGTGGCCGGCCCTCGGAGAAAGCGGAGAGCAGCGGACTTCGATGACATCCTCCTCGGTGACGATCCCGCGCAGCGTCTCGATGGACGTGCACTCCTGCAAGAAGCAGAAACGATGTCAGCTGAAAGGCCGGGCTGACGTCGGAGGAAGCCGAGCGAACGGGGTTGAAGTCGGTGACGTCGGACAAGACGAGCCAGAATTGGTCGACGCCGCCCATCGTCCGCCGGCGGTGGTCAAACTCATCCTCCACGGCGTCCGCCACTTGTCCGAGCGCCGAGCGCCGAACGCCTTTCGCGCGGAGGTGCTCTTCGAGGTCTTCGGGGATCGGAGGAAGCCGTGTCGCGTCGTCGCCATAATAGTACGACGCAGGCGTGTCGATGGCTGTCGGTGGCGACGCGCCGTCCTTCTCGAAGTTGTCCATCTGTGATGGAGGATGGTATTCCGAGGACACCGAGGAAGCAATTAGCAGACAGGGGAGGAGGAGAGAAAGTCTTCGGCGTGACGGCACGCGTGAAACGGCTGTCAGGCACAGCATCGAAGAGTTAAATATCGGGAACACACGTGGCGTGGAGTGCGCATGTGATTGCGCGCGTGACCGGCGCCGGGCTTGACCCAAACGCGTTCGGAACTCAAATGGATCAATGGCCAACAGTTCTCGAGCAATTCTAGTCTCCCCTAGTCAGACCTTGTTTTGCAAGGAGCATTCTCGACCTCTGTCTTCAGCTGTTCCGGGCATTGACAAGCGCGGGCACCATGTGATTGTGTATCTTCTTGTCAGAGGCTCGCGCGTGCGTCGCGAACACATGTGAGTCACGGACGTAACTAGAATAAGTACTGTTACAATATGGATATTGGTGTCTGCTCAACACATGGAATATTACAATTCTGAATGCCACAGATCTGCTCCCAAGTGAGTCCGCGGCGGAGCGAAGTTTTCGTACCAACCGTAGCATCAGAAACACCGACTGAGCCTCATCAGCTCGTCAGGCGGCACCCTCGACCGCAGGTTCTCAAAGCCCGGAAGCCGCCCACACGCCGCCCGTCCGCTCATGTACACGTCCCAATTGTCAAACAGCGGCTCCCACACCCACTTCTTCTTCACCCTACTCAGCTTGCCAGGGTACACCAGCCCGTCCTTCCGATGGCGGAACGACAGGCCCGCCTCGAGACTCCACAACGCAATGTTGCGGATGTCCTCGACGATCGCGTGCCGCTCCTCGTGCGAGTGCTCCCCGGGCCCGCCGAGGTCGTGCCGGAGGAAGCTCGCGCGGAAGACGGGGATGGTGACCATCGACTGCATGATCCCGCGGTCGAGCGAGAGCACGACGAGGAAGACGGTGTCCGTGCGCGCGTCGAACCCCGGGACGTCCGCCGTGAACTCGATGCGCGCTGCGCGGAGGTGCTCCTCGACGTGCGCGCGCTTCGACGCCGCGGACTTGGTCGGCAGCGGCCAGTCGTCGAACGGCGGGAAGCGCACGCCGACGACTTCGAACGCACCCGCGGGGTCGGGCCGGCTGGGGGATGGGGGCGAGGTCGGGGGCCTTCCAGGAGCAGCAGCTTTGGTGGGGGTGGTGGGCTTCGAAGGCGATGTGGGCTGGGAAGAGGAGGAGAGGCTGTCGCTGGACCTGAGCGGGAAAGAGGACACGGGCAGAGGAACAGCGCTGGAGAAGGAAACCTTGAAGTCGATGAACCGGCCCTCGAACTCGGCCGCGAATCCAGGTCCGTAGTGGAGGAAGGCGGAGGCCATGGTGATCGTCTTGAGCGCCCACTGCTGCGACTCGATGAATTGCGTCATCAACTTGTTCACCGTCGCCTCGTCCGCAAGCTGTTCGGGCGACCGTACCGCGGCGACCGCGTCCGACTTGCATACATATCTAGACGACGATTGGTGAATGAAATAGTACGGATTGGTGATGACGTACTTGTGGGCTTTCCAGTGGGCTTTTTGGCACTCGCGACCACAGTAACGGGGTTTCATGAGACAGGCACCACCGCATCGCTGGAATCGCTCGCTCGCCATGGGCTGACGTGAGCAGTTGACGCAGCGGACGACGTTCGGGTCTCCGCCTGCGAATGTGCCGTCGCGGGAAGACATGGTGGTGGGATGCGACGACTATCGCACAGACGCTCGTCTATGAGTCTAGCGTAGAGGCCCGGGAGATCTTCGACGTGGTGGGAATCGCAAAAATGGCCCTTTTGAGAACGCTCTGTAGAAACAAAAGCGTCGTTAGCGTTTTTTCTCTGCGGCGCCATGGAACATCGAGTACACGTGGATAACCAAAGGTTGCCTGACAACGACCTGGATTGACTTGTAAAGTCCACAGGAGAAGAAGACAAAAGGGGTCGAGCCATTGTAGCGCCTGCCTTAAGGTTGGCCTGAATAGTCTTGGAGTGGATACTTATCCCTTTTACTTCCGCGTAAGTCCGAGTAAGTAAAGCGTCGTGGTCAATGCATACACATGCGTTAGATAAGCGCGCAATTTTTGAGTGAGATTTACCGAGTTTGCTGATGTAAGGACTCAGCGTGCCGTGGCGGCAAACCACGTGACAAAACACGCCTGTTTGCGCGCGCGCCTCGAGGCCCGCCGCCACCGCCGATGGCGACCGTTGTCCTTCAACTTTCCTCAGCCTTCAGTTTCCCTATCTTGTCCTCCTTGCTACTATCGACGCGTCTCTGTTGCAAATAGCCGCAAGAGTATGTCAGAGGCGTCCACTTCGAACCAGCCGATCCTCGAGTCAAAACGTCGCAAGACTGAGTTGGATCCCATCTTGGTGCAAGTTAAGGTGGAGCGGGGGAAAGGCATGGTAGCAGACAAGGCAAAGGCGAACTACGTGCGTCTTATTCTGCTTTATATATGTGACCTTCCTTACACGTCGATCCTTCGGTGTGCAGCTCTCAGGCCAACTTCGCGTCCGCTTACAGTACGCTAAGTTGAAGGTCGAGCATGGCTGGGTGCGTCCATATCTTGCATACATATCGCATATACAAACACACAATTCCCGAGAAGCAACGACAAAGTCTGAGCGAAGTCGAAAATTTGTACTTCCGCCACACCCACCTAACACGCCCGTATCCCGTCATCTCTCCGGGGGGTCGACGCAATGGTCGGCCCTCCCACCATCCCACCACTTTCGCCAGCGCTACGCCTGTGCAGCAGCAAGAGAATATCGCAGCCTCATCCCTTCAGAGGTACCCCAGTCAAACCGCGCAGCACATCGGGAATGGGAACGGAACGTTCGGTGCAAGCGGTACGTCTCCTCCATCCCACACACCTCTACCTTCCTTGACGCATGAACGCGTTCCCAGCCTCCCTCGCAAGCCTCGACTCCGCATCCACGCTCTCCGTTCCCTCCACCCCCGTTCCCGGCCCCAGCACCTCCCGTGCCCCGACCCCCCGCGCGCCACTCGCCGGCCCCGGCGGCACCACGCGCTACCCACTCTCGCGCACCGACTCGACCGCGACGGTGCTCGACCCCGTGCCCGTCTACGCCTCCTCTCCTCACACGTACGCCGCGTCGTCATCCACCCTCGCCGCGGCGTCGACGTCGTCCGTCGCCACCGCGCTCTCCCAATCGTTCCGCGAGCCGTTCGATCCGATGGAGCCGACGGAGCACCTCGACTCGCAGCTCGCCGCGCTGCGTTCGATGATCTCCGCGTCGTCGCCCGTGCCGCTGCCCCCGCCCCCGGCCTCAGCGTCGACCCCGACCCCGACCTCGACCCAGACCGCAGCACCGGCCGCAGCGAGCCCTGGCGCGGGCGGTGGGCTGACGTACGACTCCTTCTGGAGCACGCACAACTCCGTGACCGCGTACCGCAACATGCTCGGCGGCGGCGCGCGGGGCAGTCCGTTGCAGGCACACGCCAGCGCGCCGGCGATATTGCCCGGGAACGCGAACGGGAGAGGGGGCGGGGGCGCCGTGAACGGGGCGAGGTGAGGATGACGGAGGTTCGGAAGGCACCGCGCGGACCATTTCTCGTATCTTGACGCTTAGACGGCCGGTAGCGTATTGCTTTTAATGGAGCCCTGCTCTTTGCTTTCACAGCGAGCCACACTAACTAGTGCCAGTGCCAGATCGCGATTGCAGCCACTTCGTTCGAGCCGTGAAGTTTTTCCACCACCTTGGGCAGGTAGACCGCATCAACCGCGCTGAACATTCTGGAAAGCTCGAGCTACTCACCTTGCTACGTTTGACCAGTGCGCAGACTCCAAGAAGTCGTATTCTTGCACCTTCACGGGCGCTCGGTATAAAAGATGGAACAGGTCCACGATGCTATCAATGCAGTGAGTCCCCCAAGTTCCCACTCATCGATACTCATGTCTCTCGCCAGATACTTGGTCTTCGAGAGCTCCGCATCGTATCCGTCCAATCAATCGTCAAACACCATTTTGTCTCCACTTTTCAGACCACAAGGCACCCTGTATGCACTTGCAGCTTCACGATCCCCTCGGTCGCCAACGCCTCCGCGAACACTTCAAAGTCTGTCAGCTTCATGCTTACCCCCTGCTTGAACGTCGCGACGGCGCGCGCGCCTACGGAGTCCGGTACCAAAGTGGAGCGCGGCGTACCGCGCGATCGCTCGGCACTCGAAGAGCACGGAGCCATCTTTTCTATGAGGACATCAATTCAAGACAAAGACGGGGAGCCGATAGTCTCGGACTTGTGCGGGGTATCGTTGCACGTTCAACATGTTCACATCGTCTCGTGGGCGTTGACGCGCAATTGAGCGGACTGCCGAACCTCCGGCATGCGGGGAGCGCCCTGTTCGATTTGTCGCAAGGCTTGTATAGAGGCGCCACCTCACCATAGCCATCGCTCTCCGACTTTACGGCATACAATCCGGTGCTTTTGCCTACGCCGCGATCCCAAAAGATCTTCAGGCTACAGCGTGGCTCACTCCCTCTTCCCCCATTGTCTTCCGTACAGACACCGCACACCAGCGGACACTATGGACAACTCCCGGTATTTGGTCGACCCGTCTTCGAGTGGCAGTACATCCGGTTTCTACTCCAATCCAAACAACCAGCAGCTTGCCACACCGCCGATGGAAATCGGACAGGCGGGTCCGACGCTTTCAATCTCGACAACATTCGACCCAGCTTCAACAATCCTGCCCGACCCGCCCGACCTAGTCTTCAAGTCTTTGGACGGCGTGCTCTTCTATGTCCACGCCGCTCATCTGCTCTCCCTCTCTTCCAATCGGTTCGGTAATCTCATCCCAAAGCGCAAACCCAGGTCCCCCTCCTCAAAACCTCCGCCCGCCACACCAGTTCCTCTATCCTCGCCCACGCTCAATGTCCTCCTCCACGCCCTCTATGGCCTTCCAAGCGCTTCCTACAACCCCACCATTGGCACACTTGTCGCTGCCGTCGACGCCCTGCCCTCGTATGGCTGCCTCCCACAAACACACGTCGCGCCCGCGACGCCCCTATTCTCTCTCCTCCTCGCACGGGCACCCCTCGCGCCCCTCGCCGTCTACGCGCTCGCCGCCGCGCACGATCTCCCCGCGCTCGCCGCGCCCGTCTCCGCGTACCTGCTCTCCTTCCCGCTCCTCGCTCGCGCCTCCTCCGCCCAGGCGGAAGGCAAGGAGACGCTCACCGACGCGCTGGCAGAGCGCGTCGGGGCGCTGTACCTGAAGCGGCTCTTCGCGCTGCACACGGGGCGCGTGCGCGCGCTGCGCGAGATGCTCGTCCGGCCGCCGGAGACGCACGCGGAGAGCTGGCGGTGCGGATTCGCGGCGCAGAAGAAGGTTTCGCGGGCGTGGGGGCTCGCGGCCGCCTACGTCGCGTGGGACGCGCGGCCGGGTACGTACGGTTGTCGGTCGTGCTTGGATGCGCAGCTGACACGGTGAGCTGTGGTAGACTATTCAGTGTGCGCAATTGAAAATGCGTTGGGCCCGCTGGCAGACCATGTCGAATGCGAGGGGTGCAAAAAGGCGATTCGCAGCCGAGTGCGGGAGATTGTGGTGCAGTGGTCTATGGTAAAGGTGAGTGTGTGCGCTCGGGTCGGCTTCACTTGCTCACCGGTGCTCCCCGCAGCCGTCGATATCCATCGATCGATAATATGAATCAACGACTTTGTGGGGTTATCCCTCATACAACCTATCCATCAGCGGTACAGTAGATTAATACATACGCAATAATCAAAGATTCCAAGTGTGCGCTTTTTTCCCGACTATCCGTCAAGGGACGACGGCGCTTTGTCGAGAGGTGTCAAGCGAGTCTATCGGGGCCCGCAATTGACGGGTACCCCGCACACATGGCCCCATCTCTCTCTGTGCAAACGCGAGTAAACGCGACGGGTGAAAACGGCCACATCGTCGCCTTATCTTGAAGGTGTGTCGCTAGCCCTCGCGCATATTCACAGGTTGCGGTGAGCGAGTCACCTTCCAGTCTCAATCCAAGTGCGAGATAGTAGTACACAAAGTCCGGTACAAACGTCCGATGGTCGTTGGCTACGAAACTAGAGTCCAACACGATCAAGTCCAAGTCCAGCATATACGTATCTACGCGTTGCACGCATCCTTCACGAGATCGACGAGCTGCACGCCGTCGGGGACGGGGCCCTTCGGGCTGGCGGCGCACGAGCCGGCGGGGCTCAGCGACGCGGTCATCCCGAACGGAACGGTGCCCGCATCGCCGGCCTTGAGACCGCCGACAAAGTTCCCCTGGTCCGTGCTCTGGAACTGGCACTGGTACAGGCCCGCGAGCTCCGCGCTCGCAGGCGCGCGCTGGCAGTACGGGACCGCCTCGGACGTCGGCTGCGATCCCACACGGTAGAGTCAGCCCCAACGCGAGACGGCACCGGACACAAGGGGGGGAAGACTCACGGTGTTGCGCGGCTGCTGGACGTAGATCCGCGCGAGGCGGAGCATCTCCGCGTCGTCCTGCGCCTTCGCGTGGGCGACCATCGCGTCCGCGGCGTCCTGCTGCGCGCACGCGTCCGCGCCCGCGAGCAGCGCGTTCATCGCCGCCACCGCCACCGTGCTGCACTCCTCCGAGGACCCGCCCGAGCGCGTGCACGCGAGCAGCCACGGCCGCACCGCGCCCGTGGTGCTCTGGCCCGCGCGCTTGTCAGCGAAGTTCGCGCGGCGCTTGCTCCGGAGTGTGCGCTTGGAGGAGGAGTCGGGGCAGAAAAGCGTGGCACCGTTGGCGGGAACCGTCAGTGAGACCTCGGACGAGGAGCCGGGGGTGGAGGCGACCGCGGGTTCGAGCACGACGTTGTCGAGGCCGGGGTCCTGCGTGAGGTGCACGAGCTGCTCGCCGTCGGGGATGGGCCCGTCGGGGTGCGCAGGGCACGAGCCCGGGGGGTCGAGCGGCGCGGTGAGGCGGGCGGGGATGGTGCCACGCTCACCAGGCTGCGCGCCGCCCACAAAGGCGGTGTTGCTCGCGCTTGCGAACTGGCATTGGTAGAGCCCGAGCAGCTCCTTGTTGTTCGGGTCGTCCTGGCAGTACGGCGTTGACTGGTTCGTGGCCTGTGTATCATTGGCAGAAAGCACGCGGCTCGGAATTAGCGGTCGGTCTGGACGGGGCGAGAGTAGGGTCTCCTAATACTGACCGTGTTGCGCGGCTGCTGAACGAAGATCTGCGCGAGGCGGATCATGTCTTGATCATTGAAGAGCGACTTGGCAAAGTCGACCATCGCGTCCGCAGCGTCCTGCTGGGCGCACACGCTCGCGGTCTCCGCGAGCGAGTTCACGGCGTTCAGGCCGAGGTTCTTGCACGAGCTCCCGCCGCCCGCCTTGACCTGTCAACGGTGCAATGATTAACAGATGGTTTCCTGCGGAGCGACAGCACTCACACAGGCCTGCGTCCATTCGTGCGTCGCATCCGACACGTCCTGCGTAACGCGCACGGCGAGCGGGGCGGCGCTGACGGACTGGGCGACGACTGCGAGTGCGAGTGCGAGCTTGATAGTGGTGGAGACCATGTTGAAGCTTCCGGTTGCTACGAAGTGAATCGGACCGGGATAATGTACGAGGACTATGTGCGAAAAGGATTAGACGAGTTGAAACGAAAAGATAAGCCACAGGCTGAGTCGAGCACAGCTCGAAAGAAAGGGGGAAGAAAGAAAGAAAGGGAAAGAAGAGAAGGAGGGAACTGCCCGTTGGTGTGGCTTCATATATTGACGTTATGATGGTGGTGATGGAGATGAAATGCCACGCAGCACTGCCCTTGGCGGTAAGACTGACGTCATGCACAAGCACCTCTCTGCTTGCCATTTGGGAAGATGTTCGCTCTTGCCTCCCGTTTGCCGCATGTATAATGAAGCAGAAGGATGGATGAGACAAAAAATACCTCGTGGAGATCAAAAAGGGCCCAATCGGGAATTGAACCCGAGACCTCGCCCACGTGATCTGAAAGACCGGATTGGGAAACCCGAAGGGCGAATCATACTACTAGACCATTGGGCCTTGCTCATTGTTTTGCCAATGGTATCAAAGTATTGGGCCACCCAGATGCTTTGTTGCAGTCGCAGCTCCTCTCTCATGACACGCCTCTCTTGGAATCTACCGCCATCGTCTCGAGTAGACGTGCCTCAACAATATGGTAAGGTTTATGAAAACACATGTCGCATATCGCTTATGGTCTTGTCTACAGTACGGCGACATCGAGGACCTTGTCCTCTCGGGCAAGTTCTTCGCCCCCGCCTCCGCCTCCAACTCCCCCGTCCGTTCACGTTCCCCATCCCCCGGCCCCGCACCCTGGCCCACTGAAGATGATGACTTCGAGTACGACTCAGACCGCGAGCGCCGCGCGACCATCGAGGCCCACGTCGCCTCTCAGCAGCAGGGTGACTCCATTGGCATGGGCCCTGGTCGCACGGGCGTCAAGGGCGTCATCCGCGACCGCGCCGAGGCGGAGCACCGCGCGCGCGAGCAGCGGGGCGATGGGGTGCGCGCGCTGGACAAGGCGATGGAGAAGGCGAGCCTCGGCGGGAAGACGTGGGCGGAGGAGGAGAAGGAGCGGCGTGCGGAGCAGGCGCGGCTCGAGGTGAGGGCGGGCGGGCACGTCATGGGGAAGCAGAAGGCAGGGCGGTTCGGGCACCTGCGGGAGGTGGGCGTGCGGAGCTACGTGCGGGCAGTGGAGGAGGAGGACAGAACCGTGTGGGTGGTGGTGCACATCTACGACTCGGTGAGTGGCTTCGACTCCGCTCCCTCCTCTCTCGCCTCATGCTAGGCTCGCCAGTCCTTGGATCGCTGTGCGATCATAGATGACACCCTCACCCGTCTCGCAATAAACCATCCGCACACGAAGTTTCTTCGAGCACGCGCGGGAGCGATCGGCTTCGCATCATCCACTTCAACGCCCGGTCTCGCCCATGCTTCTACGTTCAACCTCTCTCGCTTTCCCAAGCGTGGCCTCAATGTATCAAGCAGATCCCGCATAGAAGAGAAGGATGAGTTTTTCGATGATGACGACGAGAAGGGCGGAGAAGATGACAACGATGAAGTGGAAGAGGACGACGACAACGTGGACACAGACGTTCTCCCAACACTCCTCATTTATCGTGGTGGAGAACTCGTTCATTCATGGGTCCGGGTGGACTGGGAGGCAAAGCAGGGCATCGAAGAGCTCCTTAGACGGTACGCACCTTGGGCATCAACTGTCAGCGTATTTTGATCGTCATCCCTTAGACATGACATCCTGACCTCTGCTCGACATCGCGGTGGTGGCAGTGGCAAGCTTACATTTTTGGAAGGCGATGACGACTTTTCGGACGATGGTGAAGAGCTTGTGTTTGGAAACAGTGACGATGAGTAGTCGCTCCATCTTGTACTCATACCCCACACACCCCATCATCTCAATACGGGATGTTTGTCGTTGTAGCCATACATGCTTTTCTCCCCTGTAGTGAACTCACGCCCCTTCGTTCCTGTCAATTCATCATCCTGCTAGTTCCTGCCACCCTGTGACGAACTCTGCATACAGCGGTCAAGCAACCCACTGAAATCTGTGCCACTACTCGTGCGCTGCAAGATCCCTTTCCTGCCGTCATTCAACCCCCTTCTCACAAATAAAATCGCTCTTCAGCCGCACCTATGGTGAGTCCTTCCAACGGAGTCCGGCGGTCCGTTTTGCACGTTCATCAATTGACCACTCTGCCTCTCCACCGGCATAAAAGGTGCTCCCGAATCCGTGTACCATCGTTCTTCTGACATCCACGGCTTACAAGATGCATGGGCTGAGTTGCGTAGGACTCCTCGTCTCTCGTTGTCTCCCGGACATTGTGATAGGCCCGGCTCCCGGCTGAATCAAGAACTAGTCGCTTTCTGCGACCCTGTAATAAATATTCTCTTCCTTCACGTACATATGCTTACCAGAGCATGTTCGTAGAACAACGGGATCATGTGTTGGTCTTCGCCGCTGGAGACGGCAACCTCACCCTCTTCCCGTGGTGGAACAACCTGACCAACCGCCCCTGCCCTTCCGTCTTCAAGAGCCAGCTCCTGACTTACTACACGGAGGTCGTCAACGGGATGGGTCATGTTCGACTCACGACGTCGGCGCCTCCTCACAGGCGACTATACGCCAGGAGTGACTAGTGACAGCTCGAAACTCTTGCGCTAACCCTCCCCGGCACCCACGTTGGCGAGTCCTTCTTGTCCAGTTCACCAAGCTCATGACGGCACTAGGTCTCTTCGACCCGCATTCGCTCCTCGCACAGATGACGGGGCCACAACGCGTCCTGGACGGCACCGCGCAGCTCAACGTCACCGGCTGCGCGTACTCGTGCATTCTCAGGCTCAACGAGAGCTCGTGGGACGCTAGGGCGTATGCACCGACGCAGTCGGGACAGATGAGGACAGCTTCCTGTGGTACGTTCTTCTGCGCCCGCGAATGCAGAGACTGACTGACTCGTAGGTGGGATGCTCCGCCCTTCTCTCCAGACGAGCCGTATCGTGGCGGGGCCCATCGCGGGTTCTAGCCACAGGGAGCCGTTGCATGCATATATACTGCACAACGGGAATGCACAAATTTCCAAGCGCATATAGTTGTCGTATCAGCGTCCGATTGCATGTGGTGTGGACAACGCGTCAACAGGTTTCCGCGACTCGAAAACAGCCGCTGGTAAGCTATGTGTCAGTCATCCCGGAGTAGGCTCCGACGCCGCCGGGACGGCTTCACCTCTCGCTCCCGCTTTGGTCGATCCTCGATTTCTCCCCGGAATTTGAAAAGGCGTCCGACGACTGCATCGGAACCTAGACGGCTCTCGCACTGCCAATTCTCCCAGCCGTCTCCCACACAGGACAACATCGCCAGTCTGTCTGTCCTTGATCCGGTCGGTCCTTGATCCGCTTACTCATCCGCCCCGTATATAACATATCGGGTCAACATCCAGTGGCCATAACCATTCCCGACAACACGATGGCGACCTCAAAGCTCACCCTCCACGGCTTCCCTCGCACGCCTTGCACGAAGATCGCCCGCATCGTGCTCGAGGAGCTCGGCGTCCCCTATGACCTCGTCCGCGTCGACTTCCTCGGCTACGAACACCACTCCGCCGCCTACCGCACGCAGCAGCCCTTCGGCCAGGTCCCGTACCTCGTCGAGTCCTCCGGCGCCGATGGAGGAGACGACTTCGTGCTCTTCGAGTGCCGTGCCATCGCGCGGTACGCCGCGATCCTGTACGGGGGTGTCGAGAAGGGCTTGGTCCCAGATCCCGCGGACGCGCGCGCCGTCGCGCGGTTCGAGCAGGCAGCGAGCGTGGAGGTGACGGACTTCATGCCGTCGGCGAGGACGCTGCTCTTGGAGAACGTCGTGAAACCGTGAGTGGGTTCCGTTGTTTCAGAGGATCGATCGATGCTTAAAAGTCAACCAGTATACGGGGCTTGGAGCGAGACCCCAAGAAGGTCGCGGAGTGCGAGACGCTGCTACAGGCGAAGCTCGATGGGTACGAAGCGATGCTCTCGAAGAGCAAATATCTGGCGGGACACGTGCGTTACGGTGACTATCGGGGCGAGAGAAGGAACATACGCTCACCACACTTCGCAGCACCTGACAATCGTGGATCTTTTCCATGTCGGATACGGAGCTCCCTTGAAGATGCAAGGGTACGACTACCTGGAGTCACCCCGCTGGCCTAACGTGGCACGGTAAGTGACCCATTATCTCACTTTCTTTGACGCCAACTTTTTGGATCAGGTGGTGGAAAGACATATCGTCTCGACAAAGCTGGAGCAATGTGAACGTGTCCGATTGAAATAGCCTGAGCTACTCCATCAGCGAGCGCAGATATATATGCAGCGATTTCCCCGGTCTCTCCCTGAGTAGTGTAGTCCACGCGATTCCTCGATCATATGGTAAGCGTCACACGACCATTTGTTCGGCGGCAAGTCTTTCAAGAGATGAGTGGGCCCAGAATCACTGCAAAAGACCTTTCCAATTCTGTTTATGGACCTGGGAAGTATTTGTACAATTCTCCGAGACAGGGATTCGAACTCGGTGCGCGGGAAATACTTACGTCAGGGAGATCAACCGTGAGCCAGTCTGCTCGACTTTTGCTCCGTGCGGTCGTGCACGTTTATCGTCGGAGCTCCTCCTTCCGCCTCAGTTGCGGTCACGAGGAGCCATATGTATGTAGAAGAACCTTGCTTCTTGTAAGCCCTTTCTTTGGAGATGTTCGAGAACTTTGCTCTCTCCAACAGCTCATAAGCATATATAGTGTGGTAGCGTCCATCATCTTGGTCTTGCTTGCTCGCCCTCTTCATCCACTACCATCTGGCGACCTTGCTTCAAAGATCCTCGCGATGGCTGCGGTGGTGGCTTCAATCTTACTGCTCCTGAGCGCACTTATACCGCCCACCATTTCCGTAGGCCCAGCCCCCAACCAAATCAAGAATCTTGTAACGTTTGGCGACTCCTACACCGATGTTGTACGTGTCTTTCAGATTGGTCTGAGCATAATGACACCGATCGAGCTCACACTGGCATCATTCCCAGGATGCTCACGCGGATGGCGGGATCATGTGGCCCGTCTTCGCCGCTCAAGATGGGAACTTCTCTCTCTTCCCATTCGCCAAGTCCGGGGCCACATGCTCGAACAACATCACCTTCATCCCCACGCCCTCCGTCTTCGAAAGCCAGCTCCCGTCTTACTTCGCGGAGGTCGCCAACGGATCCCTCGAGCTCGACCCGACAACGACGGTCTACACGCTGTGGATCGGAACGAACGACGTCGGCGTGGCAGGACTGTTCGTGGGACATGGCTCGCCGGGAGTGACGGTCGTGGACACGGTCACTTGTGCGGTGAACTGGGTGGACGTGCTCTACAAGTCTGGCGCGCGCAACTTCATCTTCCAGAACGTGAGCGCCCGCTACGGCCCATCGCAGGTTCCGCCGACGCTGATCCCAGCCTTTCCGCACAGATGATCCCGCTGGAGAACACCGTCCTGTACGCGCCCGACTCGTACCCGAACCACATTTGGTCGGCGGAGCGCAACACGACTGAGTGGAGCGTCTTCATGCGCGAGCTCACGACGTCCGGGAACGCGATCGCGAAGCTCATGCTCCAGGCCCTCGCACCTACCCTCCCGGGGGCCCACGTCGGTAGGCCCTCGCCTGCGCGTGCACGACGAGCATCGGTCACTGCGCTAACGCATGGACTGCGCCAGGCCTGTTCGATTCGCACACGCTCTTCGCGGACATGTTTGCCCACCCTGAACGCTTCCTGAACGGCACCGCGCCGCTCAACGTCACCGGTGCCGTCCACTCGTGCGTCTTGCAGCTGAACGAGAGCACGAGCGACCCGGGCGTGTGCACCGACGCCGTCGGCACCGACCAGGACAGCTTCTTGTGGTACGTACCGTCGTTACCTCGCGTCTTTCCCCGTGCCTTCAGGTGGGACTGACCAGATGGCAGGTTCGACGAGCTGCATCCCTCGGTGCAGGCAGAGCGCGTCGTTGCGAAGTTGATCGCGAGTTCGATCCACAGGGAACCGTCGGCGGACAGGTACATCACTTGGTTGTCGTGAAGCGCCTTGTGTGTTACGTGCATGCATAATGACAACTTCCGGCCACGTTTCAAACCTCAGGTGCATTCTCCCACAGAACGTTTCGCATCAAAGACAGAGTGACCTCTCCGCCAAGAAATCCAACGAGTTCAATGAAAGGCAGCACCGTGAATTAGTCATATTCTTTAAAAGCTTGTTTCAGAGCTGCACAGACGGTTTAGAAAGTTGGCAAGCTGAGGCCTTAGAAACCATCAGGCACTACTTGAGTATCAGTGACTCACACGAGGATTGCACGCTTTCCGTAGGAAAAAAACTCATGGACCTAGCTTGTGCCTACTTTGACTATCAAGTCGGGGATGAAAGTCGTGATGAAGCAACGAGGCAACATCAAGGATCAACGGGACACTGCATCATAGCACGTGGAAAACCATAGAAATGCTATCCAGAAAGGGAGAATCGAACGGTCGGACTCCCGGCCTGTATGCAAAGACGGAGTCCGTGACGTTGTGCACACATGCAAGCATGTGGGTTCAAAAAGAAATACCTGCCAATACTAATTCCGACACGGGGAATCGAACCCCGGGCTATCGCGTGAGAGGCGATAATGTTAGCCACTACACCATATCGGACGTTCTTTCAAGAGGATCCGAAACATTATCACCCCAAGTCATGCATTGGCCAAAGGCTGACTATAACTGCCGTCAATCTCCATCACCTACTACATATACGCATACCATTCCACCATCCACATAAAACTCACTCAGTAGTGAAGCAATACCTCACTGTCACCTAGGACAGTCCAAGCAGTCAAGTGGGTAGAAGTGAAGTGGAGTATCATCAGTGTAAGTACTACTGTGCGCGTCGGGATGACTAGATTTTCTGATCCTGGAGCATCCTGCCCACTACCACGTATTTTTACGAAGGCGGAGGGAGTTCAAATGCTGCATAAAGCGTAGCTAGTCTCGCACCGTGCCACTTCCCCACACTTCTGAATTGAACAGCAGCCTTCCCCTCTCATTCAAAGTACTTCCTTTCTGAAACTCCCTCCTTTTTTGGCGACTCATATGCGGACGTTGTATATATGTCCGCCGAGATTACCGCCGTTTTTCTCTAGGATGATCATGCCGACCGCCATCATGTGGTTTGTTTTCGCAGCCGCAGAGGGTAACTGCTCCCTCAGGTGGGAAGTGATCCAGCAACCTCACCGCACGCCCATTCTCATCCCTCTTCGAGAACCGACTCCATGTGTACTTCGCCGAGGTGGCTACCGGCGCCCCCACGCACGACCCTGAGGAGACCATTTACACGCTCTAGGTTGGACAGAATGACGTCGGGGAGAACTGGGTGACGATTGTCCACGCAGGCCTTTTCGACGCACAACGAACCGGAAAGCTTCGTGAATGATACTGGGCCGCTGAACGTCACGACAGCCCTCCACTCGTGTCTTCTATGGAGCACTGGCGACACTGGGCCATACACGGGCGTACGCACCAGGACAGCCACATGTGGTGAGCCAAATATGTTCAGTCATTCCCCCCAGGTTTCTGATCGATGGGTGTACAACAAACTGTCCAAGCCATGCGAGTTGTAGCGAAGCTCATGGCCGATTCAGTCCGTCTGGAGCAGGCTGAGAACGATTCTGGATCAGTTCCCGTACACTCAAGCCAACCTCGGGCGCACGCAAATCATCAATGCTCACCTGTATAACGCATTCACAAATCTCATAAGAAGACGCGTGACGTTATATCATCCTGTCTTCTACCCGCCCGAGGGCAAAACCTCGGACACATCTCCGTCGTTACCTCCGCCGCTGCTGATATCCCGTCTGCCCAAAAGGTCATGCGCACGCCGCCGGGACGGCCGGGCAGCCTCAGGTGCACGGGCGCGCCGTCAGATGACGGGTCGCGTACGTGACCCTTCGCGTGCCCGCGATGCTGCTTCGGAACATATATGAACACTCGAGGACGCGTGAAAGAGCGTCGCAGCCGACTCACCGACCAGCTTGATCACCCCGACGAACAACGATGGTCCGCGCAGCCCTCGCCACGACGCTGCTCTCCGCAAGCCTCGCGCTCGCGCTCGGCCCTCGCCCCGGGCAGTTCAAAAACCTCGTCACCTTCGGCGACTCCTACACAGACGTCGTGAGCACCTCCCCATCGCCCCTCGGGACCACCTGCGGCCTGCCTCTGACCCGCACGCGCGCACACAGGACGCGCACGCCGACGGCGGCGTGATGTGGCCCGTCTTCGCCGCGCAGGAGGGCCGCCTGGCGCTGTACCCGTTCGCGAAGGCGGGCGCGACGTGCTCGAACAACATCACCGCCCGCCCGTTCCCGTCGCTGTTCGAGAGCCAGCTGCCCGCGTTCTTCGCCGCGCGCGCGAACGGGACGCTGCCCGCGCTCCGCGCGGACGAGACGGTGTACACGCTCTGGATCGGGACGAACGACGTGGGCGCGAACGCGCTGCTGACGGGCCAGCACGCGCCGCGCGCGAGCGTCGTCGACGTCGTCGCGTGCGCGGTGAACTGGGTGCGCGTGCTCTACGGCGCGGGCGCGCGCAACTTCGTCTTCCAGAACGTGCGTCGTCCCTCCCTGTCGTGCGTTCCCGCGTGAGCCGAGGGGAGGAGCTGAGTGGAGGCGAGAGGCACTCACCGGCGCCGGCGCACCTGCAGATGATCCCGCTGGAGACCACGCCGCTGTACGCGCCGGACTCGTACACGAACCACTACTGGACCGCGGCGCGGAACACGACCGAGTGGAGCGAGTTCATGCGCGAGCTCACCCTCTCGGGAACGCGCTCGCGAAGCTCATGCTCCAGGCCCTCGCGCCGTCCCTGCACGGCGCGCACCTTGGTGCGTCCTTCTCCTGTGCTGCCCTCCTTCCCTTCCCTCCCCCTCCCCTGCCCCGTCCGTTCTCGCATGCAGACCCGAAGCGGACACACTCACCGGCTCGCCCCCAGCCCTCTTCGACGCGCACGCGCTCTTCACGGACATGTACGCGCACCCCGCCCGCTTCCTCAACGGCACCGCGCCGCTCAACGTCACCGGCGCCGTGCGCTCGTGCGTGTACGCGCCCGGCGAGTCCACCGGCGACCCGGGCGTGTGCACGGTCGCGAGCGGGACGGACGCGGACAGCTTCCTGTGGTGCGTCTTCCTCTTCCTCTTCTTCGTCGTCTTAGGGCCTGGGGAAAGCTGACGCGGGCTTCCCCTCCTCGCAGGTTCGACGAGCTGCACCCGTCGGTGCAGGCGGAGAGGGTGGTGGCGAAGGTCATGGTGGACACGATCGAGAGAAAGTCGGAGGAGTACGCGACGTGGTTGCTGTAGAGTTGCGTGCGGAGAGAGCGTCCAGTGTGCCAGACGCAGACCACGCACCTGGAGCCTTCATGATCTCTCGCAACTTGTCCCAAAATCCCTAAAAATCATCGCTGGCGTTGTTGACGCCGAGATCTTTCGTGCTCACTCCAAGAGACATGGAGAGGATAGCATTGGAAAAGGCCAAGTACACTGCTACGTACAGAGGGGATGTAACTCCAACACGGGCCGCCCCCGACACGAATCAGCCGGTACGATCTTGAGATGGAGGGTTCGTTCTCCCCCGCGAAAGGTTCAAGACCCGCTCGAGACCAGAGCGCGAAGCCAGGCAGAGAACAGATCCCAAATATCAGCCCGCGGGGTGTAACTTTCGATGAAGGCCGCCTCCCGCCTCCGCGCCGGGTTATATACCAGGCGTCTGTCCGTTTAGCCGGGTGGCTGGCGGACATTTTTCTGGCCGGGCCGGCGCCCGGGTGGCTGACCCGCGCACGGACCAGGTGCGCGGCGCTGGCATAAAGTCCAGCGCGCCCGCGAGCGAGCTCTTTCACAGTCTCCCTCGGTCTCTGAGCTGGCGTTTCTGCTCCGTGGGACGTTCGTTGCCTCGAGCCCGCTCTCGTGGCGGGCATGCAGACTGAGCAGAGCGATCTTCGCGAGTCTTGGGCTGGGCATACCGCTGGCCGTATAACTTCTCTACGGTCGCGCGGTTAATCAGCACTTGGCACATTCTCCCTTCGTCTTTGGCTGTTGTAGTGCGTCGTCCTGTATCTGTGTTTGTTTACTTCGGAATGAATCATCGAGCGCGTTCTACCAAGATTGCTCCCTCGTCTCTGCCTTTCAAATCGGTGCCCTAAAAGTGTCATCAGCGTTAGGTGTGCACCCGTTCAGCGTGCACCTGTTCGAATAACCCTTCGTCATTCGCTCGAGGGCTTACTACGCCGCAACTTACTTGCACCGCAAGTCCGAGCCCGATTGACACGCAGTGCGCACAAGCTTTCGGGACCTGTCTCTGGACGGCTTCGGAGCGACAACCTCCGGGTGTCCGGGTGTCCTCGAGATCGAGCTCCGCCTGTATATTCCAGGAACGCGTCCAGGCAGTCACGGGTACGTCACGCTCGATATCGGCGCATTGATGCGTACGGTCTTTCATTTACCGCCGGCGACGTGGCACGGTGCACTGGCCGAACTCTCGCAGACACGCACGACGGTCCCTCAGGCACGTCCGTGCCTGCCAACCTCGAACACGCTGTCACGGGCGTTCTCAAGATCATTCTGAACACTGCCGACTGATGCCGCGGCCCCTTCTCCTCTGTTTTTGCAGCGATCAGCCAGACCAATCCGAAGCACGGAGGACAGAGGACGAGAACGACTGCGAGCGCACCGCCGCACCCCACCGTGGCAGCAGCCCTTCAAGTACTGATGCAGGAACGCCAGCGGACGCCGCGCTGCGGCGGTGCCTTGTGCTCGTCCGGGCGGCGGGCTGAGAGAGCTGCCAACGCGCCTCGCCCATCCGCGCTCTCGCCAGGCGACAGACCCCAGCAGATCCCCCGCGCGCGAGCGAACGCCCGGACGTGCGTCTTTCGGATCTCCCTCATTGCCTCTCCCACACATCGCCGGGGCGTCTTCGTCTCACGCACCGTCTACCCAAGATCAGACCGGAGCGGGCTGTGTGGTCTGTCCGAGGGCCGGGCTATCAGGCTGCTATCAACATATCCGCCGCGGTCGATTCGCACGTCGCTCATCTCCGCTGCTGCCGCATCGCCGGCCACATTGCAGTACTACTTGGGCCCGGGGTCCACTGCGTCCTCTGCGGGGAACCCGACACCGCCTCAGGCCCCACTTGATCGGGACGGCCCGGCCGACGATTCAAGCTTCAAAGTTCAAGCCGCCCGTCGTCGATGCACATGTCGCTCCATGAAGCCGCCGCAAAACAGCGGATCACGAATGCTCTCGACGACATGAGCCATAGAGGGCAGAGATCGCCATCCGATGTTTGTGCCGTGGACGTGTGTCAACGCGCCAAATGTGCCGGTGAGTAGGTCTCGGAGTGCAGCCTTACGTTGCGCCCACATGAATGTGGATCTGCTAGGTTCGCCTGGTCCCCTTGGATTCGACGCCAGTCGAACGCGCGTGTCCACGCCGGATCATTCGGATAGGCCACCTTCCTCCGTCGAGGCGGTGGACGTGGTCCCAAGGCGTGAAAGGTCCGCCCGACAACGTTCGGAGAGGTTCGCATTCGTGGTTGGCATACGGACCCACACGGACGGATGGCGAGGAGTCGGCCTCCTCATCGATCATCCCCGCTGTCGAATGTCGATCCGTCATCGCATGTACATTTCCGTGCGATCCGTAATTCGACGGGGAACCGTGCGGCTGGTGTCCACCAGCACAGGCGCAAAAAACCTGCGGTCCCACGCCGATCTGGGCTCACCCACTCACTTGCAAGAGTTGCGTCCACACGTCGCCCGGGCCTGCAGAAGCTCGGGAGCTGGCGCCGACACCGACATTTCCCCACACGCCGTGCCCATCCCTCGTCGAGCCAACTCCGCGGGCAGCGAGTCGAACGCCGCGGAAGCGAACGGCATCCCGAAGCCCCGCCGCCGAGCCCCTCTCTGCCACCCACGCCTGGTGCCCGCATCATCTCGCTGGGAACACTGGCCGCCGGGAGGTCGGTCGTACGTATACTGGCAACCCACCGCGCCCGCCCTATAGGTTGGTGGTCGCCGCGCGGCAAGCGCAGAAGAGCACACCGTACGTGTGCCCACCCGCGCCGCACACACCCCGAGCTCCCCCCAACCCTACGCCTGCCGCCGTCCCGTCCGCTCCGCGGCCTCTGTGCGCACCCGCCGGATCGCTGCGCGAAGCGAGCGGGAGCGCGGGCGTTGTGTTCGCGTTTCAGGTTGCAGATCCTTCGCACGTCTCTGATCCTGTCCGCCGCGGCCGCGCGGTGGTTAGAGTTCCGCTCCCCCGCACCGCCCGGACCCCTCGCGCTCCCTCCGCCCGCCGTGCTGCAGCGCGACTGCCAGCCACCCGTGCGAGCTGGCCACACCCACTGCAGGTTCGCTGGCACGCCCGCCTGAGGCCTGAGCGTTCGTCGGCGTTTGCGCGCCGAGAGCTCGGGCCAATCGGACGGCCTTCCCACGTTGCCTAGAAGACGGCGGGAGAACGAGGTCCCTCGCACGGCGGCGCGCGTCGCCGCCGGCCTCGCGCAGAAGGTTCGACGCTCGATCGAGCGCCGTCGAGCCTCGAGCCAGGACTACGGTGCGTCCCGTCGCCCGGCCGTTGATGTGGGATCAAAGACGGCTGCTCAAACAATTAATCGTCCAGGCCCCCGGTCTCGCCCCGCCCTCCCGTCGACATGCGCGCCCGAGGTGTCCGCAGGTGCCCAGCCGGAGCTGTCCGCACATCCGCACATGCATCTCTTCCAAGTTCCGCACACGCCCGCCTCGTCGGGCCTGCGTCGGTTATGTGCGTCGATGCGCCCCCGCGCCATCAATGTGGGCGCGTCAGGCGAGCGAGTCGCAGCGCCTTCTTCCCAGCACATCCCTCGCCTCCTCATCGCGGAATGATTGGGTTGGGGGCCGCCGCCCTCGGCGGGGTCCGGTGCGCGGCTTCTTCGTCTTCTCTGCGACCGCGCACTTTGCTGCCCCGCAACGGGGGAAGTTCTTCTAGAATTTGGGCCAGCCGCGAAATTTCACGGCTCTTGTACATGTCCACGAAGTCGGGCGCTCCCTGTACGCATAATCGCCAATCACAGCGGAGGAGAAGCCTCCCGCGATGGCCGTCGGCCGACGACCTTCTCGCCCGGCCCTCACGCAGACCCGCCCGCTGCAGGGACGTCACGGGCGAATCCCGAGATCTCTGCGCCGAACCTCGTCCTCACGTCCCCGCCCCCCCCCCCCGCTCCTCCCCTCCGCCGACGTCGCCGAGCCCCGGAAGGCTCTGCCCAAACGTTCGCCTCGTCCCGCAACGGGCCGTCCAAAGCTCCCACCGCTCCCCCTCCCCGCGCACAGCACGCGGAGGACGACAGCGGGGCCTTTCACCCACCCACAACCCACCTAGCCGGCTCTGACGTTTGCACCGCGACGGGCGGGGGAACGGGCCTTGGTTGGCCTCGCCAGCCCCCCGTGGCCGTCAGCCTGGTCGATGCCCACCCGAGCTTTCCTCATACCCATGGCGATCACAGTTTCTCGCCGGCGAGGCCGTTGAGCACAGCACGACGGTCGCCGGTGGACCCGATGGAACCTATAGAACGAGACGCATCGGCGGGCGATGGGGCGCTTGTAGTGTTCAGCACGGTCCGCGATGCGCGGAAAATCGGATTCGCTGCGTATAAACGTGCGGGTTGCGTGTGGTGCTGACGCAGCGTGCTTGTAGGCACCAGAGCCTGCTTCACGGTACGACTTCCCCCGCCGAACTGTTCTCAACGCTTGTGGGGCTCCCCTCGGAGCACTCGTTTGTACGTCCCACTGTCGGATCTGTGCAAAGGCGCCACCCCAGTCTGCGACGGCGGAGACAAACGTGCCGCTCCGGGTACGTACTACCCAAGCCCGACTACTGCGATCCTTGTGACACCACGAGGGTGGAAGCAATCTGGGCTGCAGAGTGAGTTCCATCGCAGTACAGACGCAGCGTACCTGGGCACCGAGTGCCCCGAAGCGGACTCGTGCCCCGTCCTATCGCAGCGCACTGGCCACCGGAAGCAGCGCACCACGTCCGCCGAGGGCCCACTGGCACCACGACCCGCGCGCTTCCAGCCAACGCGGGCCATGCCTGCGGCCCGGACGCACGCCCGTCGAGCCTGCCTCCAAGCCGCCGTCCGAAATTCTGTGGCGATAGACGGACCCTCCCCCGGCGGTTGCCAGCCCATTGCGCATCTAGCCTTATCCGGCGCGCGGACCCTGCACGCGCCATCTGCTGCCTGCGCTTCGACGCCGCCCTTGTTCCTTCTTCTCCGGATCCGCTCCTGCTGCCGCGTCGGCGTGAGGGGTGCGTGCTCGCCGTTCGCACCCCAGGCGCCGCGGCAGCCTGTCGACGTTTATTCGTTCGTTTGTTTTATCGCCCTCGAGGGCCGAGTCCTGTGGTAGGCGGTACATACCTAGGTATTCTGAGAATCGTACGTGCGAGGTCTGGCACATGCGGCCGGTCGAGGAAGACAATTCGGAGCCTGCATGTCGACGTGACTCGGAGCCCGCCGCCCTGCTGCCGCACGCGTTCGCCGGACCGGTGATTGGATTGGGCCGGGCTGAGCAGGGCGTTCCGGGGGACGAACGCGCCGGCTCCCGACGCGGGCGTGGGCGCCGCTGGGGGTGGCCGATGACCGGCTGACCAGTGACGGACGACCCCCGCGCGACCGTCTACGCCATGTCGGCGGGCAGCCAAAATCGGGTATGTCCCCGTTCGAATCAGCATCTGCGCCTGGTGGGCGACCGTGGGGAGCCGTGGGGGCACTGGTGGTCCCGCCATCAACAGGGCAGCGCAGCGGGAGCATGGGGCGATGGCGTAGTCGTTGAGGCGATGGTTATCTGTGCGGAGGAACAGCGATGACGTCGGAGGGGCGTCGAAGGAAGGGAGGGATTGGGAGGGATGGGCGGGCGGTGGCGCGGGGACACGACAGCTGGGGTTTGGATCCGGGATTGCAATGCTCGTCTGCGCTGATTGAAGGGCGCGGTCCTTGTCGAGATGTCGTGATCGTTGTGATGCGGGGCAGACCCGTTGAGCCAGGCGGCGTCTTGGACGATTAATCAAACCAAAACGACGGCCAGCATAAGCCGCAGGGGCCGGCAACTTGCGGCGGCGTTGTGGCGTCGAGCTCCCATCACGATGCCGCCGCCTGCGATCTCGCCTGGCGTGATAGACGAGCGGACCGTCCTGCAGGTTCTGCCCTCCCTCGCTCTCGCTCTCGCTCTCGCGCGAGCTCGCGGCATGGGCGCGCGGCTTATAGCAATCGTAGGCGCCCCCGAGCTCACTCCTCGTCTGCGAGCGCACTGGCAGCCATCACGAAAGAAACTGCCGCGCCTCCTGTCATGGCGAGAAGATCGTGAGCTCGCGCGACTCACCCTAGAAAGACGCACACATGGCCTGAGCTGCTGGGGTACGTGCGTCCTCTGTCCGTGCTCCCTGTCAAAACTGACGGCCTCGTTCTGCGCCGGCAGCCCGGCTCCGCACGCAGCGTGTTCCATCCATATGTGGCCTTGCACCGAGGCGAACCACGTCCGTACGACTCCACGTCACGTGCACAACCCGTCCCACGAGGCTTCACGCTTGCAAAAAAACGGCGTGCCCCAAAAGAACCGCGCCCCTGACTGAGGCTGAGGCTGCTGCACACGCACGTGCAAACGCGCGCCGCGCACGATCGAGCAGCGTGCGCCGCGGAACGCCGGCCGTGGACGCGGCGCGAGGCTGGCTCGCTCGGGAGTCGGGGGGGCGTTGCGGAAAAGGCGATTCGACCGATTCCATCAGAGCGTCCGGTAGGCATGCGGCCACGCGTCCCGCCGGGCGTCTGGAGCCGTGACCCGCCGGCTGAGGCCGAGGGCTCGATCCGCGCGCGGCGACGTGCGTACGTGCTTTCGCCCGAGCACCGCGAATATTCTCTTCTAGCACGCACGTACGGACCAGGGTCGCCGGAACGTACGCGCGTAGCGTCTGATTCTGTCGTTCCAGCACTCCTTCCTCCCTGGGGCCTGGGCGGGCGGGCGCATCAGGACAGAATTCCGGACGTGACTGTCAGCCTCCCTGACGGCGCAGTAGGTACCTTACTCACCCTCGACCTGACTCGACTCGCCTGCATATCAGTGGGCCCCGTTCCAAAATTTCCCTCAGCTGTCGTCGCACGTGTCGAGATATAGTGGCCGCTTAGGCCGTTCAAGTAACTCCTCCGAGGTTTCGCCAGTCGCGCCGAGTCCCAACGCTGCCCAACGCCCGTGCGATCGCAACATCGAAATTCGAAGCGGGAAGCGGCGTGCCTGCCAGGGGTGCGCAGGATGGAGGGAGGCGAGCGTTTTAGCCGAGACGTCGTCGCTAAGCCGCTGGCGCACTTTAGAGTGCGCACGCCGCCGACCCGATCCGCCATCAGAGGCGGCAATAATTGCGTGCGGCCCGGGCGCCGTCGCTCGCGAGCATGTTGGTACATACATGATACATATACAGTTGGCCTTGAAGCTTGACGGTGACCGGCTCGAGCAGCAAACGCTCTCGAGCACTCCATGGAGAGCGCGAGACCGAACTCGCACTGGTTGGCTTCGCGTGAACGCCTCGCCTCGACTCCTCTGTCAAGCTTCGGCACCACGCTTCACTTGACGGCGGCAGCGCGCGGGGCCTCGCCGGCCGCCGCATTTTTTTACAAGTTGTGTACGTGAACAGGGACGCACGTCAGACGAGCGCGCTGGGCCCTCGGCGCGGCGTCCGCAGAACCGTACGTCTGACCGGGGAATGGACGTCGGCGGCCACGGTGGGTCTCCGGCGCGCCACGTCGGGCGCGGCGTACTAATGCACTCGCATGCTTGATTGCGCTGCGTCCGTGCCATGGCATGTCACCCAGGCGGACGCCGAACCGTCGAGTCGTCAAGACTCGAGACTCAAAACCAGCCCTCCGCACGGGACGACAGTGGATCGCGGCGAGCTCCGCGCCGCGGCACGTGGGATACGCGATAAGTAGTATCGCGATCCGGGGCTTGCGTCCAATGATCAATCGCGCCGCGGCGTCGCGCGCGCGCAGGCGCTGTGTCCAAGTACTATCTGTGACGATGTCGGATGGCGGACGTGGACGGCGTCCAAGCGCGCAGAATCCCGCTGTGATCTTCGTCCGCGAGAGCATCAAATACCAACAGGCCCCCGGCCGGGGACGAATGCGGCTCGGTGATGTCGGCGCGACGTCGAGCACCTGATATAATGCACTTTAAGCAGCCGCCCTCCCGAGCCCCGACAATGGCGCAGATAGCACGGCCGGATGTCGCGTTACGGACGAGCCGGCGGGCATCAGCATCAATGCATCAGGGGGGGACGTCCGACAAGGCGAGATCTGCCCCACGCCCGCGGAGCCCATGGAATCATGGGATCATGGGTTAATGACGCCATGGCGCAGATGCGCACATCCTCGCAGTGATCCCCGTCTTGCGGCGGGAAGATCGGAGCTGAGAGATAACGGACGAGCAGCTGGCGCGGCGCGCGTCCAAGGGAGGTGATTTCATTCGTGAGACGCGTGCTGGCGAACGGGGTCCGGGACACTAGAGCATTGCGCAGCGAACCAAGAAAGCAGAAGAGAGATACAGCCTGCGGCAATCGACAAGAGGGGGAGGGGTGGAGGCGAATATGTATAACGAAAAAGTACGCACGAGGGGCGGGGGAGCGCAGCCGTCCGTTCCAGAATCGAGTCTCGCGTGTGCGATCCGTTGGGAGCGGGGTCGAAGACCAGCTGGACATTCGCCCACTGGCCGACTCAGAGAAAATACGGATGGACTGGGGCGGGCAAGGCGAGAATAAGAGCAGCAAGAGGTGAGATATTGCGGACGCGTGCGGTGGACAATACATCTGGTGGTTGGTGGTGAGGGATCTATACGAGCAACGAAACAGCGGACGAGACGGCGGGCCAAAAATACACGATAAATACAGCGAAGGAGGGAGGGGGGACGGGGGTGAGTAACAGAGCGTCCGAGCCGGACCCGGCGGCGGGCGAAGGGGGCAGCACAGCGAGCGAAAGTGGTAATAGAAAGCAACAAGCAAGAGGGAGTGGCGAAGAGGACGCGGGGCGCGGATCTAGTTGCTCGGCCGGTACACCTCCTTGCGCTCTTGCCGTGGGCTGTTCGGGATCGACCCCGCGGCGACCAGCGGCGAGCCGTGCGCTGGCGGGGCGGACCCGACGGGCCCTCGAGCGGCGAGCCGGGACGCTTCACACCCGCGCTCACCGTCGCCGAAGGTTCAACCGACGCGGGCATGACGCGGGGCGAGTTCGTCGTGGATCCCGGGCGGGAGGCAGACGGGGGTTGGGCGTCGCGCTCACCGCGGTTGAGAAGCGCGCCAATGTCCGTGCGGTTCGAGTCGGCGGGGCGGTTCTGCATGAGCGGCGAGAGCGAAGGGTGCGAGTAGTGGTGTGGGGGAAGCATCTGCGGTGCCACCGCGGCCGCGGCCGTCGCAGAGGCTGGGGGAGAAGACGCGGGGGGCGCCGAGATAGACTGTGAGTGGGGTGGGGTGTTGCGGTGCTTGAATTGATTGACGTTCGCGACCGGGCCCCGTTTGTGCGGGAAAGCCTCCGGGCGGGGGCGCGAGTGCGTGCGCTCAAAGAGGCCACACTTGTTGCACAGCTGCAGCGAAACGGGGCGTGCGTGAGACCCGAGGATCGCGAGATGGGGGGGAGGAGCAGCGTGAGCGAGGGAAGACACATACCACTTTGCCGGGTGTCAGACTCGACCGTCTCCAGGTCGAGGTGTCGGTCGTGCGGCAGTTGAAGCATTTGCGGCGGACGCGGTCGGACAGCTTCGTCGTCGCGTCGTCGGTGTGGATGATGTAGTTGGTCTGGCCGGGGTAAGGCTGCGCGGCGACGATGGTGGGTCGGATCGAGCGTGCGGGCATGCCGGGGGCGCCGTGGGAAGGCACGGGGTAAGCGGCGGCGGGGTCGTCGGTGTAGCGCATGGGGCCGGCCGGCTGGTATTGGTAGGGCGGGGCCTGGCTCATCGGAGGAGGACCGGGGTGGTAGTAGGGCGTGGAGGGCTGAGTGATCTATATACGCATGCTTGGCGTCAGTGGGTGGGAATGGGCCGAGAGAGGGTGGACGTTACCGGGGGGGAGGGCGAGATGGAGTTGCTGTCGAGCGAGGAAGCAGAGAGGGCGGGCGAGTGATGGAGGGTGGCAATGGGAGGAGGGGTGGGGTGCGAGTGCAGCGGCATGAACTGATATTGCGCAGGGCCGTCAGAGCGATGGCTGTGGGAGGTTTATGGGTGACCGGGCGGTCTTATAGGAGAGGATGGCGGTGCGAACCTTATTGACCGGTCCACGGTCATGTCCTCGACACGATGGGGCATGTTTTGATGATACGGATTGGGTAGAAAGAGTTGGATACGGTCCGTGGGAGTAGTGCTGCAGCCGTGGAGGCAATCGGGCATTTGGCACGATCGGTGATGGCATGTTAGGAGCGCAATGCGATCAGGTCACGGTGCACGTACCCAGCGCTGATCGACGTGGCCGGGGAACGGCGGAGGCGGCGCGCTCTCGAACTTGAGTCGCTTATGGGGCGGCGAGCCGGGCTGCTGGTCGCTGGGGCCGGGTGACGCGGTGGGAGGCGGGGGCTTGGACAAAGGCGGCAGGGTGCGCGCGTCGAGGCGACTTGCGGGGCGCGAGCTGGGATGGGAGAGGTGCTCGAGCTGGGGGTCGACGACGGGGAGCGGCGGGGAGGGCAGCTGGGGCGTGCGCTGTGGGGCGCGCGGGGAGGAGGCGCGGGGCGGGGGGCGGGCGAGAGGTGAACGGCTGTTGATGTGATGTCGGACGGATGATTGGGACGCGTTATATAGCCCATGGCACTCACGGTCTGTCCATGCTCGAGGGAGACGGGGGTGGGGAAAGGCTGTCCGTAGGGAGCTGTGCGGGAAGACGATGGGAAGGTGATGAGAAGGAATCAGGAAGGCGAAGAGGAAGAACGCGCTCGCGCCTCCCGCATATGTACCGCGCTCATCACGTCCTCCCTCGTTTTCATTCCACGCGCCGACCGAACTTCCAACTCCGCGCGCGCGTCCTCGTTTACCCCGCCGGTCCCGCCCGGCCCCCCGCCACGTTGGCCGCGAGGCGGGGCCTGACAGCGTCGCCCGCTCTGGACACAGTGACACACCCGTCGGCGAACGTCGCACGCTCGCGTGATGGTGCTGACCGTCGCCGGACATCCCGACTGCGTCTGCCCGCGACCGTGAGCTGGAAGGCGGTCGATGCTCGGTGGGGGTTGCCATCAGCCCATCAGCCGGCGAGTGATCTTTTCCCACTGCGAGGGCCGTCCCGCATGCCCGGTCAGGGTCGCTGTGATAAGGTGTGACCGTCAGCGGCGGGTTATCCGTTCCTGAAATGGCTCGTGGCCAATTGATGCCCCAATCTCAGATGCCGTCGAGCGCCGGGCTGTGACCCGTCGTCAGCGCTTTTGCCTCCGTCGCCGGCCCCGTCTCTTTCTTGCTCTCCCTCTCCCGCCCAAACCTATGGGGCGGCAGCTGGCGCCAAGCCGCGTCTATGGATCGATGGGGCCCGTCCACGATGCAGCCAGCACACCCAGAGGATGCGCAGACGACGCCCGACGAGAAATTCACCAGTCGCCCGCTCAAGCTACCCCGCGTCTGCAGCTTCTGCCCGCCGCGGTCGGCGACAAAAATAACGCGTTGCCCGCCGTGGCACTATCGAGCGCACCGGGCGGACCATCCCGCGCCCTTTGCCTGCGAACGCGAGCTTCCGACGTCGGTGACCCGTCCATGGCCTGACGGCCGAGATCAAACCCAGACCGCGCTCTCGGTAAGTACACTGGGTCCCGTCGTTCTCCGCCTGCCGTGCGCGGAAGTCACCGCGGTCCACAGGGATGGGTCCATTCGTGATGAGACTCACGTCCTCCTCTCCCAGTCGTAGCCAGCATTCGGGCGGCCAACACTAGACGACAGACACCACCGCACGCACACACCTGCACAAGCCGCCGCGTTTGGCCCTCGCGCGCAGGGTCTCTTCGTTCTCGCACACCGTCGACATGATGCCGTGCAGCCTATAGGAGCCGTGCCGAACGCGGCACGCCCTCCCACGTCCATCGAGAGCCGCCTCTCCAGGGATCACTAGTCACTTTCCCAGCACCGCATCAGGCGATACTACTTACTTGTAAGGTTCGCGCCCACGGGAACGTCTCTCGCTGACCGCAACACTCACCCAGGAGCCCGAGCGGGCGCCCTCGTCGCGGCCCCACCGCAGCGCGCTGCAGGTAGGCTCGATCATCCAGCCGTTCTCGTCGTGACCTCCTCTAACGGCTGGTCAAACTCGTAGGGGAGCCTCGCAGGAGACCCATAAAAGGCAATCACGTGATGTGCATGCCCTCCTCTCGCTCCACTCCCCCGCCCAAACGGGCATGTTGGGGCACGCCACCCTCCCCAAGCCCCACGCGCGAGCTCGCGCGCGAGCCCAGGGTGTGCGCGAGTGCGCGGCTAGTCGCGCGGAGTGTCGCGCGCGCGTCGCGCCGCTCCTGTAGACCCAATGCCTCGCTCTCCTGGGCGATGTTCGTCCTGATTCCGACACAACCTCACAAGCGTCCTCTGGTGTGCACAAGTATGGCCTTGGGATATACCACCCATTCTGTCAGTGACGGTTCTCGTCAAATGTACATGCAGCACCGGCTACTACTATCCCAGCTTCACCGTCTTCCTTTTCCCTCATCAACTCGGATGTCTATGTACAAATATTCCTCATACATCGGCACACTACGATCTCCTATGCTACGTTTTGAGCCGTCACGTACTGCAGCGCGACGAGTCGGGCGTCCATGTTCCATCTCTGGCGGCCCACCGCCAGGGAACTCTGCTCCCCGCACATCTGCCCGACGTTTACATCCTACACCCGCGCCGGGGGCGCAGTCCATGTCTGTCCGTAGAGCACCTAGATCATTGTACATCGCACCTTAACAGAATTAATACCACACTTTCAGTCATTTCAGTGTTCTATTGCCGCACTGCAGCCTGAGGGACCCGTCAGTGAGGCAAGCATTAGGTCTGCAGGAGCGGCGCGACGCGCGCGCGACACTCCGCGCGACTAGCCGCGCACTCGCGCACACCCTGGGCTCGCGCGCGAGCTCGCGCGTGGGGCTTGGGGAGGGCGGCGTGCCCCAACATGCCCGTTTGGGCGGGGGAGTGGAGCGAGAGGAGGGCATGCACATCACGTGATTGCCTTTTATGGGTCTCCTGCGAGGCTCCCCTACGAGTTTGACCAGCCGTTAGAGGAGGTCACGACGAGAACGGCTGGATGATCGAGCCTACGCTGCAGGCGCCGAGGACCTCGACAATTCAGCCAAACACACACTGAGCCCGCGCGCACGTCGAGCGCCCTGATGGCCCTCCGCCCGAATTTGACAGGCCCGACCGACGGCGCGCGCAGGGTTTCGGCCTCTCGCGCTCTCCCCCGCCCGCCGGCGCCCGCACGGTCTCAAGCTCGCTTGTGCCCGTACGCTCGTGCACCCAGGACGCCGCGGGGGACGGGACGCTCTCACGATCGCGCAGGATCTCGCCAAAGCGCGCGCAAGCAGCTGACGCCGTGGGGGTCGACGGACCGCGCTCGAGTCGGCGGACGAGGGCCGCACGGAATCACTCGTGATAGTGTTCTGGCCAGTTCCCATCGCAGATTCCCCTCCCGCTGCTTCCGCGCCCCATCGCCCGTCACGCTCTTCCCTGTCACGCCCTCGCAGCACGCGCGCGCAATTGCAATGCGGAGGAGGATGGACGGTTCAATCGTTCACCCTCCCCACCGCGTTCGCACACACGCCGCGGCGCGGCGGGCGCGCGCCACCCTGGCGTTTTGCGCAGGCCGCCGTGCAGGGTCCCCGGGCCTGATTTGGGCAGCGCGCGCGGACGCCGACAGGGTCGACGTCGGCCCACTCGACGCGCCGGCTGGCGACAGGCCACTCAAGTTTGCCGCGCGCATCCTTGGTGTCTGGCATCAGACGACGCAGGCGGTCCCATTGACCGTCGGGTGCAGACGGAGGCGCGGTGCGCATCTGTTCCTCGACGTCGCACGCAGAACGCTCCCTCCTCCCCAAGCTCCCTCGACGGCCGAAGGGGTCCGCACGGCCAGCGCTCTGCGCGGAGACTGCCGTCCATGGGAGATCGCGCATCGCAGCGCAGAAGGTCCCGCGGCCTCCCCCTGCCACCCGTCACCCGCCCGGTCCATGGCTGTCAAAGAGCACGGCGTTGGGGCTGGGGCCATCCCGCGAAGCATGCGCGGGCGACGGCGCGTCGGGCGTCACCCGTCATGTATCAACGCATCAGAGCCGCATTCGCCCTTCTTCCTGGTTCTTGCTCGGACGCCGGACGTCGCGAGCCGGCGTGGGCCTTGGAACCAAGCATGGGTCCGACTCTGGACGGTCTGGCACGGCCCGGGCGATCCCGCGTCCCCCCTTCACGCAGATGCATCCCCCGCGGACACTCACTGCAGCCGACGATACGCGGGCTGGCGTGATTGAGATCGATACCGAACGCCCACTCAATCACTCACCCTCCCCCGAGCGGCCACAAGACGTGATCGCAAGTGACGCCGGCGAGGTCAAATCCGACAACGCGACTCGATGCGGCTGGCTCAACAACTCCAAGAGGTACGCTCAACAAGATGCGGAGATGCAGCCAGATGCAAGCACCGCCGGGCGCCGGGCGCCGTACAGACACGCGACGGGACCAAGATCCTACACCCCTGCAGGGCGCCTCACGCGCACGGACCCGACCTCACCGCCACATCGCCGACGCCAGCACTAGTTCGAACAGTTGTGGGCGCCCGCCTCCCGCCTGCTGTCATACCCGGCTCGCCGCGCTGTCGGCCGCCCTCCGTCTGGCCGATGCCATCATCCCGGCGACGATGGACGCGCAGCCGCGCTTCCCCTCCCTGCTCCCGCTGTGTGCGATCCCGCGCGCCGGGAGGACGGATCGATGGGGCGTTGGGATGCTCCATCACTGACGCGGTGCGCGCGAGGGCCTTCGCTGGGTGATGAGGGTGCACACACGCTGCGCCACGCGTCGCGGCCTTGTTCCCAACGGGGCAGGACCGCTCGGCGTCGCCGTTGCCCGAAGCAAGCCCGACTCGCAGGGGGGGGCTTCGGTGCGCCCTGCGGTGCTCCCGGGCGACGACCGCACCAGTGCGCAGGGAGGCAACCGAGCGGCGGAGAGCTGTCATTGATGGTACGGGAATTGTCGTCGTCGACTTGCAAGTGGAGCAAGTGGAAGGGTCCCGGTCAGGGCTGGTGAGGCGAACCACACTAGCCACCATCTCGCCATACCCGTCTCCACCCTTCCCCAAGTCCAACCCCGACAGCTTG